CGTGAAAATGTAAGAAAATAAATAAACTGTAAAATATATTTGCTTCCAAAGCTTGCCTTAAATTAACGATATCTTTCATTTGATACCTTTAAAATCCTAACGATCGCAATTGTAATCATATCAAATAAGTAGTTATAGCGTGAAGTTAGTGAATGTCTTTCTAGTGTTAAAACGAAAGGGGTAGTTATAGGTTTTATAATTAGATAAATAGGCTCCAGGTTTACAATGCATGGTTAGTTAGGTAATTTGTTCGTGTGGAAAGTAGCCTAAGTTTCTATTTTATATTAGTTTATTCAGCTATGTATAAGTGTAAGTCCCGGTAAAATCGGTGTAGCATTTTCAGAGATTGGCCGGATCCTTCAGACAGATAGACAAAAAAAAAATTTTGGTTTATGTACCGTCAGTACCTACCGTATATATACAATACATAGACATAGACACTAAGTTTAAAGTGGTTATTCTAATATTACAAATAGACACTCAATTTGTTTAATTTGTATAGATTATAGCGGAGGCTTCGAATTAGCTACGTTATTTTTTGGTCATGCTGTGAGTATCAAATGCTAAGATTTAGTAAGATAAATACAGAAATAATAAAATGCCTTCATTAGAAATCAAATATGGTGGACTAGTTTCGCCGATATTAGGTATGATATAAACCATTGTTCAAAAAAATATTTTTCTTTATAATAATTGATAAATATTAATCACTTTATTATCTATCTACGACATACACTATCTCCATAATTACAAACAATAGAAGAATTTGGTAACAATTCTGTTACACAAACTAGATTCAATTTAGTTTTAATCCTGTCGAAATGCATTTTAATTTTTGTAAATAAGTAACAGAGTTAGTTTAATTACATGTGACAAGGGAATACAATTGAAAGAAACTTAAAATTAGAACTTTAATTTATATATTGGTACAACAGAATTGGCACCAAAGGAAGCGAAACAATAATCCTACGATATTATTACATTTTTGTGTGTCATTTATAAAATATAAACTCATGTTGCCATCAAAAAAGTACTCATAATAGTTAAGATATGCTCTATGGTCTAATTCTACACTGCTTTGTATAAGTGTGTGGCTTGCTAAAATATTTATAGGTTTACACAAACGTAATGTTTTACGAGTTGTTTGATGGGCCTCTTACATCCACATTTTATTCTGACCGTAAATTTCATTAGTAATACTAACGTTTAAGCTAAGCCGATACTTTTCTGTTGGCGCGGTTTTTAAGGTCGTTGCGATCTACCAAATATTAGATTATAGAAAATGTTTTATCGAATCGCAACGCGTGAGTTTCTTGACATAAGGAAGTTAACTATTGAAAACTTTTAAATGAGGGTACAAATATTCGACTTCAATACACAATAGTAGCAAGGCCGTTGCATAAACTGAAATTAATTATAGTTTAACTTAAAACTGCGTTGTCACGTGAAAACAACCAAGATATTGAGATATTGAGTTACCGTCCACACCAATATTATAAAGTTTTTAACTTTACCTCTAAAAAGTATAAAATATTATAAAAATTATTTCACCTATACATTACAAATGTGGAGGATGCCGCAGAAAACTATGCTAATTAGTATAGTTTTAAGGTGAGACTTTTTGAATACAATTAACCTATCTACCCTTTTTTATTAAAATATCATTGACTTGTCCCATTAAACGTTTCTCGCGTTTCTCTAGGCCCCATGCGGGCTAAGTCACCGGCGGAAAGCTAGTAAATAATAATGACCAAGTGAAAGTATCTAAACAAGTAAAATTATTTCGAACAGCAAAATATATGCTCCGTAAAAAAAATATGTGATGGTAAATAATCGACACGAAACCCGTTAAGGAAAATGTAATCATTTTTAAGACACTAACAGCCTTACTTATAAAAATTCATTAAACTATGGTTATTCAATCGTTATACCAAGAATAGTTATACTCGGTATATGCTCATAATAACGGAAGAATATCTTTTGACTTATAAACTTGGTATATCATCGGCGTAAGTACTCCACCCTTATGTTCGATGCACGTAGCGGCAACGCCGCATTTCATAGACAAAATCGAAAAAAAGAAAGTATTTTGTCTGTGATTCGGTTGCAGTGTCAAATATCACTGAGTTTGAAGTTTGGTTGATTTACGTTACATGTGGTTATTCCTTAAACAAGACGCGGGTGATTTTGTGGAAGTTATTGTAAATTATTAAGTCAAATACAAATTATTATCAAAATGGCATATAAAAGTAGTATCTCAGCGTTATCAGTATCTGCAATATACCTCACTGCCAAATAAACGTTCTAACAATAAGACGCCGTCTTTGGAAAAACGATATTTTATACGAAATTCGTCGTCATTGTACAAAAGGAAGGGAGCATTTCTAGTTCTAAATATTTTAGATTTTCTTCTCGTCCTCAACATTTGCGATCGATTGATCAAATTATTAATATCTTCCAATTCTTGTATTGTCTAAACGCCATATTTCAATAAACACACGTTTCAATATTATTAAAAATTATCTAATACGGTAAATATCAATAAAGCATCAACAATATCAAAATGTTATTTGACAAATGCGTTGCTACACCAGTTATACTAGGGTGACGGGCGGAATATCGGTGGAGTAAGTTTTGTTAGAACGTTACATCCAGGTTATGCTAAGCATAAGTTACACGGAGTTTATAAGTTGACATTTTGCGTATTCTGCACTAATTCTCGGTATAACATTTTATACCACGTTTATAAGTAGCGCTGTTACTCGATAAAACCGTTATATAATAGTATATAGGATAGGTTTTTAAATAAAACCTTCTCAAAAAGGAAATCCAGATTTTATTACCTTTTGAAGTAGGTATGTAAAGCAGCGACATCGCTGCATTCGATGCTGTTTTCGGCATTGTATTATTATAGAATAGCAAAACAGAATAGAGAAAGATAGAACTTTGGAGTAGGTATTCACCCGATAAGAAGTTCTAGGAAATCAACAAGAAGTTAACTTCCAAGTTATTTTTACAAATATTATTGACGTTGGTTAGGGTTAAGTTTTAACCTAATAGATGTAACTTTTCTAAGAAATATACTTAAGCCCTTTTTGGTAATTTGGGCTATTGAAGTTGCAAGCAACAATTTGTTGATATTTGTAGTTACTTGCCACAAGTATAAATTGTTGTTTTCTTTTCAAAAAATAATTATATATATTAAATAAAATTTTCATGTTTCCCTTTAAAAATTTCCATTTTATCGTTTCAAACCTTTACATGCTCATATGACTAGTTATCAAAGTAATAACTAGGTACCTATTTAAATAATTTAACTTGAAATACGAGACATATATCTATATCCTCACGAAGTATCATTTGCAAGGGTTATTTATGATATGCTTTATTCAACATAAAAATAAGTATTCAATCAACACTAATGTTACTGGAGTTAAAATCAGCAAATGTAAAATAATATGATATTAAATTTGATATTTATTCTAAGCGTGCTTTGAGTTCTGTAACATAATATTGCAAAAAACACAATACACTCCTTTTTTTAGGCAGTTGTGTATAAAAGGTCGGCCTCTGTTGGTCGCACCCGTCGTCCAAACTATAGTTTATTTGTCTTAGTTTTTTTGGTCGCTCGCCACTTGCACACCACATGGTCTTGATTTTATCTTTTATTAGTAATACCCAACATAACCTAATTCTTTAGAATTCAAAGTATGTGTACCTACCTACCTCTCGTAGTTGTTTCGAATGTTATAAATTATTACTCTTGATATTAAAAAACGGTCGGGGTTCTTTTTATGTTTCACACGCCTACAAATGTAGACATGCAAAGCGCACACTGCATATATGAAAATAGAAAAAAAATATATAATTTTATTTGTTATAATCTACACAGATACTTTATGGAGAAAAGATGCCACACTTTTGAAAATTCCTCTTGATTTTGAAAACATTATCTAATTCACCATAAAAAATCTCTATGAATACATACTGGTCGTTTAATTTTATTTTTATTAAGTTATTGCTTTCGACCTTAATATTCAGCTTTTTAAGAATGAACTTTTTACCTAATTTTTGAGAATTTATATACCTAGCTTTTTAAGATACGTGAAATGCGTGGAGGCATGGATTAAATAAAATGAATGCAAGATATATTTCTTGTATAAGTATTTTCAGAAAGTTACTCTAGTATTTAGCTTAGCTGGAAAAAAGTTTATAAAGTCACTTCTGATCTGACATGTTATACACTAAATTCATATTGACGTTAATATTATATTTTTTGAGGTCTAAATGAGGTTTAAATACGTAAGTTGATGTACTCGTATGTATGATAAAGTGTCAACAAATAGATCTTTATTACCTTTTTGATGTCGATAGACGACTTTTTTATTTAAAATAAAGTAAAAACAAAAGAACGATGGTTTGGTCAAATTGTCCTAAGCGTCTTCTAAGGAATACGTGTAGTGACATATTAGATGATACAACTGCATTTCTTACTACTTATAAAGTTACATAGCTTCAAATGCTTTCTGGAACTTTGAAGCATACGTAGATTTAATTACGGAGATAATCACATGAACATACGGGGTAGTTTGTTCTGTCTGTTTCTTATTTGAACTTAAATGGAGACTGAGAACATCAGATTTTTTGAAAACGAGGCTTATCCCATTTCGGCATCTGTTCATAAATATCATTGCCGCAGCTTATTAAGTGGTTATGAATTTGTTTCATGACTCAATCATTTTTGTTTAAGTAATTACGCTATTTTGTTTTATAATAAAAACAAGAGTCTCTGTTAAAAAACCTTTGTTCGAATTGTCTATCCTTGCATAAACGTATGAACGATTTCAAGATTTTTGATCACACACTTGTCAATTAACATCTATCACCCGCACAAGATAACAATCCACTTATGTTACAGCTTCTAACACATGTTGAATTTGGACATACCTATAGGTGTGAATAGAGCGGGCGGCGGCAGGGTCGGCCGCCGATCTGTAAACAGTGGTTATCGACGCGCCGCCACTTGCCTTCGTGGCATCGCCGGCTACTGCGCTATATTTATCCGCTTTGGGACTGACGCGGGTGACTAAATCCGTTCGGCGCCGTATGATGCCGGCCTCCTGCAACCACAACCACGTCACGATCTACCCCGGAACAGCATTACGGTGACCACCCTGCGGCCGCAAGGGTGACGCACGGACGCAATTCGCACAGCCTATTTCGCGAACGCTACACCACTTTAATGTTTTAAATCGCAGAGCGCTAGCATAATAAGAGGAGATAATTTATTACCTGAGAGCAGTACCTCAGTAGGACTTGTGGGCTGGCGCCGGTGCGGCTGCCACGCAAGCTTGGTGATGGTAGTAGGAAGGGGCCGGCGTGCGGTAGTGATGGTGGGGCGGTGGAGAGGCTCGGTAGGTGTCAGGGCCAGGTGAGCCGCCTCGAAAGCCCGCTAACTGGCAGCTCGGAGGCTCAAACAAATCACGAAACGCGGGTGGCAATTGCTCTGTGGCCGGTTCGGGCGCCGTGTACCAGCCTGATGTTGCAGCTCTGAACTCTTCCGCAGCCAATGCATACGGTTGCGGTGAACAATAAACGGCGGAAGGTGGTAACCGAGGTTCGCTAAATTCATCTAGAGGCTCGGTAGGTTTTTCGTAACGAGCACACTCGGCGCCTGGTTCTCTTTTCGGTCGACATTCAAAAATTCTCGGTTTCACATCGGGCTTAACATCTCGCGATTGGCCTAAAGCGTCTGCTGCACTCAGTGCTTCCTGAGCTGCCAAAGCCTCCTGCGCTTGTTGTAATTGTTGTTGTCTTTTTAATGCTTCCTCTTTTTCTTTCAAAGCATCTTTCTTCTTGAATCGACGTCTTCTTCTTAAATATGATCCATTATCGAACATGTTATATGAATCTGGATCAAGAGTCCAGTAACTGCCTTTACCAGGTTTTTTATCGTCGCGCGCCACTTTCACGAAGCACTCATTAAGACTCAAATTGTGTCTAATAGAGTTTTGCCAACCTTGCTTATTTTCTCTATAATAGGGAAAACGCTCCATGATAAATTGATAAATTCCATTAAGAGTGATCCTACGGTCGGGTGCGTTTTGAATGGCCATAGCGATGAGCGCTATATACGAATAAGGAGGTTTGACCATATCTTTGGGCGCGCCGACATGTTGTTGATGGGGATGAAGATAGGGTGCTCCATATCCGTATCGGTACTGTTCGTACGCGTATGGAGTGACTCCAGCCGAGTACCCGCCAGTGGCTCCACTACGGTACGCGTAGGGGCTCTGTTCACCGAAGAGCGCGTGCATCGTGTCGTATCACGTTCACTGGCACAACATACTAAGAACAGGAGCGCGGGACCCTCAACGCGTTGCTCTTACGGCAGCAAAACGACGACTGACTGATTTTGTTTAGATTCACAACAAGACCCGTTTACATAGCGGACGCTAAACGAGAGACGAATGAGCGCTTTTGTGGGCGCTGCCGGTCGGCTCGCTGAGCGATTGCCGCGCCCCGCCCCTTGCACGTGTCTCGCTCTGATAAAGGCGTCTATGATATTTAGTATCTCTTTCGATCGAAATCCGTCATGGTCTCGTACGCCAACGTACGCCCAGACTGCGTCGAAGGGCGGCACCGGTCTCCGCGTCGCTCCCCTGCCACGCCATCCCTCACCCTACAGAATTCCCATTGTGCCGCACAACTGTTGTTTCTTTACAACAATGCACGCTACTCAAAGCTACACTCAAAATTACTTAATAAATATCCAATAAAAAACTCATATTAGTTCTACATATTATTAACATCCTTATATATTTTTTACAAAAATCGTCAGCCTTTACAATATAAAAATGTTTTACTAAAAATTAAATACTAAAAAAATAAAAATTTAATTAAATAATATTGTGTATATTAAAGACCACATAAGTAATTTATAATAAGTAGATATCTAGCCTACTAATTTTTATATTTATTTTAATACTGAGTAATAAACGTAGTTTAAAACGATTATACCTATTTACAATAATTGAATGTATCTACTCAGGAAGTATAATTAAAATAAAATTTATTTAATTTAATCTTTAGTTAGAACGCAATGCATATTTTACCTATCTACATAGCTACATAACTTTGTTATTTTATTAAAAACAGCGTCGAACACAACGCTATCATTCACAATATTATGGCTCAGTTACACTGATTTACAGGAAAGAACGTGGCGAGCGGACGGCCTCTGAGGCTCATCTCATGGTCAATTAAGCGATCAATGAAAGCGAGCCACAAGGATTCTCTGTAATCCGCAAGTGGATGTCATCGATTAGTGTAACTGAGCCATTAGAGGTTCAATCAAATAAACCTAACCTTTTGAAGTCAATGTTATTAAAATTTGATAGAACCTTTATTATTTCGACGGCACTATAATCTACATTGTACTTTTTACAGGAAAAGCGCGGCGGCATTATAAGCGGTTTGACCAATATGAAAATGTTACGGAGTCAGGAGGATTCTTAAAAATTATTTAAATTTTATAACCTGTAAATGAAACAGCCGTTGACTATATTTTTTGGAATTTATCATTATTTAAAAATATATTCTTGAATTTTAAATACATAACAGTCCTTTGTACTCGTGTAAAAATCTATTAAGAAAGAAGACAGTACTTCCTTAGTAGATTTTTAGATTCCTTCAAAAGTAAAGAAAATCTTACTACTGTCCTAGTAGTTGTAATATAACTAATTAGTTCACTGTTAAAAGTATAGGGATCAAGAGTCATCTGTCATGCTACTTAGTTATTGCCATAGGAAGTTGGAAGTTGACGATTTGTTGACTCAAGCAAACGTGTGAGAGATTAGTTGAACAAAAAACATCTCCCTCAACTCAGATCTCCGGGTCGGTGTTGCAAGACAGATTAAAGCACTTCCTTTTACAAATACACGTATATACCTATTTCCTAGCTAACTGCAAGATAACTTTTATTCATAATTTTGTTTTAATACACGAAAATGTTACATAAAGAAAGTAGATAGCTTTCTTTTTCGCCCTTTATGTAGTTTTAACTATAGAAAGCACCAAAAATTTTTTTTTTAAAACACACTAAACACTAGTAGAAATATGAAAACACAACACAAAAAACGTGTCTTTATACTTTTTAATCGACTTCAAAATCCAAAAGGAGGAGGTTATATGTTAGAAAGCGATGTATTGTTTGTTTTATGTACAGGTATGTTCACCGATATTTCCGCCCATCGTTGACCGATTTTATTTATTTCTTTTTTGTTATTCGACTGGTTGTCCGTGGTGGTCCCATTAAAATTTTGTCGAAATCGAATCATTAGTTTTCCTTTTATAACAAAACAAAATATGCTTTGCACCAGATATAACCTAAATATTTAGATAATATATATTGTATATTATGAAATACAATTTTCACTAAAAATCATAACATTACGTATTTTGAAATCATTCAAAATTAAATTTCTATCACCAATTTCTATCAAACTAGATGCTTTTCCCACGATTTCGCATGCGTAAATTAGAGCCTATGTATGTCCCCCGCGTATTATGTAGCTTCCAGTAGATGAGACTTTTGTAAATCGGTCCTATCCAATGCAAGCAAACAAACTAATTTTCTAATATGAGTGTAGATTATTGCAAATAAACAAACTCATTAATTAAGAAACAAAATCTCCTTTTGTAAGACTTTAACTATGTTGAATATTTTCATTTATAATTATAGTGTTATAGGTACATATTACATAAAAAAATATCAATATCAGTAAAAAGCATGCAAAAAAACGGTATTCCGTAGGTATGTTATTAAATAAATGATTGGCTCCCCACTTCAATAGCATTTTCTTGAATAAGTAGCTTTCGTTTTTAAAGTTTGAAATAGGTTGTATTTCATTAGAAAAATGTTTTTATAGAAGCTCCTCGATACTTTGCAGCTCAAAGGGCGTGACCACCGTTTTCTTTAAAACGAGTTTTGAATGCCATCTAGTTTTTGCCCTATGGAACGGTATTTTTAAAGCTTTCAAATTTTGAAAATAATGGTGAATACGAATCTAAATGTAGAGGCTGGAAATGCATTTTTGGGTTCCGAAGTAAACAAAGAACCGTTATAGTTTCGCCTTGTCTGTCCATGGTTTAGCTCAAAATCAGAAAGTTGTAATTTGGCATGAGTATACGCTTTATTTACGCTGACAAATCGGAAAAGTATATAAGTAATTGAAAAAAAAAATCTAGGGTACATACATATGAAATGGGGATGATATTTTTTCGTCTTCCCGTTTTTCGATTTACTAAACCTTTGTGACTTATTAATTTTTAAAAAGCTATTTTTTTCTAGTTGGGACGTAATTATTTTTAGACATAATGAGTAGATATATTTGGTTTATAATTTTTAAAGAGTTGTTTTAATAATAAATACTTATTTTATGCGTCATAAAAATTATCAATTTTCGTGTAAGAATTATATTTACAGAATCAATAACACATCATCAGCACGTCCTCACTGCAAGGGCTCAAGCTTTCCTTATGGATAGTTAAGGAGGAATGGCCAATAACCCTCCACGCTGGCCCAAATCCAATCAATCCCAATCAAAATCAAAATTATTTATTCAGTCTAGGCTGTTACAAGCACTCGTGATAGTCGAGAACTACGCCATCGGTTCTTAAATCTACGGCGGGAGACCTTGTACCGAGAAGAACCGGTAAGAAACTCTGTTTTATTTCATACAGAGCGTCAAGATTGAAAAATGACTTCATTAAAATATGTAGTCACTTTCCATTACAATATTACACCATATAAGATTAAAACAGTATTTTCGTCAATCCAATCACATAGCCAAAGAAGCACACCGATAAACAATTTGATATCCTACATGAAAAATTAGCCATATTTAACACCAAGCAGTTTTGTCGTTTAAATATTCATTAACAGTATAATAGTAATATCCTTTACTGAGTAGACAATTCTTAATATGGGTTTTAAAAGTTTAAAAGTAGTAATAGTAAATTTAAAATTTCCATAGGAATTTTGTTATAGCAGTGTACACATTGACCCATAAACGATGATAGAACCTTAACAACAACGTACGCCGGCTATTCACTAAGTTACCGAGCTACTTAAACACATACAAAATAACCTAACCTAACCATTGAGCTACCCAGGATCTAACAGGATTTTTCAAGCACTTGTTAGTGAGCGTATTTTCATCAATGTTCAGGCAATCTATCCAATAAGATGAAAATATGTTCTTATTATTATGAAAAATGCTTAAGAATATAAGATTAAGAATAGTTTTTCAGTATAGCATTGTGAATGCAAAACTGATCAAACATAATTTAATTTTATATGTGATTACGTCTTTGGAGCTTCGAAGTGTGTGAGGCAGTATCGGACTGAGGTTTTCTTTAGTCAATTAAATGACTTCGATGTTTCTTGAAAAATATAATCGCTTTTAAGATATTATTCTTCACTTTTTTAAAGATTGAAGTCGGGAAATTTTTTTTTGCTTTTATTTCATCATATGTATTGATACTTATATGTACTGTAAACGTATCACTATAAAATATAAAATATCTATGTAAAATAAATTATAAGTATTTACGTAACGAAAGTCCTGAAATTTTCATTTAATTGCACGACAAACCATGAAGTAATCGGTGAACATACTCGTACCTACTTGCATTAAAAGTTTACATACCCGTTGAACATAGAAATACCTCCTTTCGTATTTTGATGAATATAAAGTACGCCATTGCATCGATCAGTGTTGATCGAAACGCTATCGTTTGCTTTTTTTTTGTTTTGTTATAAAAACTACTGATGAGACTTCCATAAAGTTTTAATGTGCCATCGGCCCATTAAGATGTCGAATAAAAAAAAATTAAAATCGATTCATAATTGGAGGAATAATCGCGTAACAAACACAACATAAAAACAAAACATACAGACGAATTGATATCCATCACTTAAATTAGGTACCTATATGAACTAAGCTTTATCTAAGCGCTTAGCTTGTCGCCATTTATAGCCAGAGTCTGCAGTGCTATCTTGCTCAGTAGAGGAAACAAACCAAATATGGAAGAATATGCCTATTATGGAATACAGAAATAATCTTAACTTGTTCCAAATATATTTATTATTAACGATGAAGGTTCATAAAAGGATTTTCTGACCCTGAAAATTACTCTTTCAGGTTCATGACAACTATGAAATCTTTATATTTACTTAAATATTTTAGAACATATTTATTTCAAGATTTCATTAATATTATAGGTTAAAGTAAGCCGTTTTATTGTTATAGGTTCCTTGAATTGACATAGAATCTTCCTGGTTCGAGGTTTTCGAAAGAAACTGTTTTCAGATGGTACCTATGACATTCTTCTTTTAAAAAATTTGAAAATGTTGTAATTTGAATAGCGACTTTCAATTGTTTTTGTTATTCAACTTAGACAAGATATATAGATACTGCGAAAATTCGAGTGATTTTTGAATCAACCCGCATCAATCTTGCGTTTGGAGAGGGGTCTGCTAATGAACGCACCGTGCGATTTTGGTTTAAACGCTTTCGTGATGGAAACTTCGACTTGAAGAACGAGCCACGAGTAAGACAAGTGAATAAAAATGAATTAAGAGAGATGGATGGAGATCCTAATCAAACTACCCAGAAATTAGCGGCAACGTTTAACGTTACTTTAACCACAATATGGACTCATTTGCGTCAAATCAATAAAAAAAAGAATACGAAAAATGTGTGCCTCTCCAGAAAGAAACGCGTATTGAAACTTGTGTTGCCTTGTTGAATTGATACAAAAATTGAGGAATATTCGATTGAATGGATTTTTTATCATATATAAAAAAAAATCCGTATTGTAATGTTTTAACGTACGAAATATTTCGAGAACATACTGTATTTTTAATTTTATTTAACTAACCCTTTGGCATCGTTACCTTTACGATTCAAGGAAAAAAGATTTCCGTTTATCATTGGCTCGGACGAATTTAGTTCTTCCAGAATTGATATTAAATATTCATCCAGAGATATCTCCAGTCGTCTCGAATACCTATTAGGACACGATTTGCTAATAAAAATAGTTTTCCGATAAAGTCTGTCAGTAAACTTACTCAGCAAACCCGAAGAATAAATTACTCAGCAAACCCGAAGAAAAGGGTTTTTTGTTTACCCTTTATTAAATCAAGTTTTCAAGCTTAGTCAGCCTTTTATTCATTTGTCTAAGCGTCGAACCCGTCACAATATCTGTCACCGTCGAGTTGTGAGAAAGACATAGGACTAATAATATTGAATGGAATTAGATAGATAGTGTAATAATAGTCAGAAATGATATAACACAATTTTGGTTGAGAGGAATTATTTTATTACCCAAACTTATTATAAATTCACAACTCTTAGAAAACCTATCTTTATTTCTAGCAATTATTACAATAACATAATATATTTTTAGTTCTAGCTAGTTACTTACATCTTTTTTGAAAGCCTCCATGCCATCTTTTTCTTTTTTCCCGCGTTAATCAAGATTACCACTTATAACTGTCAGTGTGACCATAAACAATTAATTATGAATCTATGGGCAATTTAAAAAATGAAACCACACAATAGTACAATGGCAAAATTCAAATAGTTGAGATTCTACTGAGACGCGTTACTACATAAAAATTATCATTATTTGCCTATTGCCGCCCCAGACTAATTATGACTACGCACTCCCGTCCCCTACGTGTGTTTTACGTTGTTCACATCTCATGTCTGAAGAAAAACAGTTAAATAACTGAAATGAAACTCAACTTATTTTCGCAAATGCTATCTACATTTAATAACTAACTATACGAAATTTATTTTGCGTGCTTTCTCGTTTCAGAATTTTTCTATTATTTTTTGGAATTCAATATGCATTAAAAATATTATTTACATATTGAGTCATATCTAAATATCATTTTAATATCGAGTGAGCTTCCCTTTTTTGTTTTTGCTCATTGGGGAACAAACACGTTATATTAAGGCTTTTGATAAATTGCAATAAACCCATCGGAGTTCTAGTTAAAATGGAGTGCTCGCCAAATGAATGCATTCTACCGCAATACTTTCTTCCGAATCATTCGCATATAATTGTTGCAATTCCCTTGCATTGTTTCTGATAAATTCACTGTCGTCTATTTCAGGCAATTTTCACAAACAATCAAACTTTTGTACATAATAAATAAATAATTTCCCGTTTTTTATATTTACTTGCGAAGGCAAGACTATAGCGCCCCCTGTTCGTCTTGCCCTAGGCCTAATTAGCCTAAGGGTTAAGCAGGCTCTGGATACTTTAGGTATAAGTATTTATATGAAATCAGTGTATTCAGTATGAAAATTTTATTTATTGTGGAAATTATAAAAGCAGCAGTTGCTATTTTAGTGACCATAACAAGTAAGAACAAAACTTAACAATAACAATAGATAATAACAAAACTTGTGTGTGATCTCAACACAATACAATTCAATAAGTGTACGGTACACTTATAACCAGTATTCATTTGTTAACGGTACTAATTGTAGAACATATTTACGTCACCAAAATGATCGCCAAGCGCATTAGAAATTTGCAGGTATTATACCTAGGTACTGATACTATTGACTGCCTTTTTTATGTACCCAAAACTATGATTAAAATTTATCTGTTTAAATAAACCGCATATATGGCGATTTGGAGGACGTAACGTCATTTGTAAAGTAAATAAATGGAACTTTCAGCGAAAATATTGATTTTACAAAATTATATAAAACACAAACATAACCTTGTAACTATTAAAACTTTCACTTTCACTTTGAATGTATCCCGCGCTTTTCCCAGACATTTTAAATTCCAATTTAGTCATAAATCGTCACGCACTCTGATTGGTGCTTCGTTTGACGTGACACAGACTACAAATATTAAGAAAAATAAATTATTGATTAAAAAATATAAATTATTATTTACAAAATGATTTAATGATTCAAGATTTAACTTTATTTAATAAATAACTTCTTAGATTATATGATATTGTATAATCACAGGATAACTTTTTAACCAAATACAATTTCATTTTGTTATCCGATCCCCTATTGTTGTACAATAAAAATGGTTCAAATTGAAAACCTATTAGGATGGTGTTTTAATAAGGTATAATTTTGGTCTATAGTCTAATGAAACACATTGGGTGTAAACAAAATAAGTTTATTGGGAGTAATTTTACACATATGTAAATCGATTATTAAAACATTAAAAAAGAAACAGAAAATTCTTTTTTAGTAATAAAATTTCATTCAGCATTAAAAAATTACCAATAACATACAATTCTTTCAAATAGTGACAACATAATTACATGAATATTTAATTTTATTAACAGGAATAGTTATTGCTTTTAATCAATTCCTAAACTAAAATTAAAAAGTTAATAAATAGATATAAATAGTTTCTTCCTTAGTATTTAGAAATATATATATTTTTTTATATTTTTAATGGCTAAATACTTTTTTATGCCTTATTTTACATGAAATTACTAAACATTAGGCTGTTTCTTTAGTTGATTGTAATCATCCCTCACTTTCTTACATTCACTCTGTAGGTCTTGAAACTGGTTCTGGAATATATTAAAATAATAAGTATGGTAATTTTATCAATTATCAACAAAAAAAATAAATAATAATAAGTGATTTATTTGTTAGCATTTTGCAATTACAGTATGTACTGTAATTGAGCATACCCACCATGAGGCAGTGGGATGAAAGTCTCAAACCTAACTTGAAGCTAAATAATATCGCTCACTGAATAGTACAGTGGCACAACTCAAAAACCATTATTTCGAGAAAATGCCACAACATTTTGGTGGCATCCCATAGATAATTTAAAGAAAAAATAAAAAACTTAACAGTAATAATATAATACAAACAATTGAACTGTTTTGCAAAAAAATTTGATTTTCATAATTAAAATATATAAAATTTTCATAACTTCTGAGAGCGTTTCTCGAAATTATGGTTTTTGAGTTGTGCCACTGTACTATTCAGTGAGCGATATGAAGTATGTATCTTAATCAATTATTTATTATTACTTATATAATTGAATATTCGAACAGAATATTTATTAGTATTTGACAAATTTTTTACAGGTAATTATTAAACTAAGATAATCATTAACAACTTTTAAAATTGATATTATTTATAAAGTTTCTTTACTTTTGCCCACCACTAAATAAATTCTAGGTATGCCTATGACAGTACATGGGTATGTTGAATGATTTCATAATCTCCATTATTTTTACTATTATATTAGTAAGCAGTTGACCATTTGTATTATAAAAGGAACCAAAATTGCAGTTATTTTCAAATGTCCTAGATTAATTAAAGGTTTAAGAAATTTAATCAGCTAAGATTGTAGCTTTAACCTATTACATCAAAAATTACTACTACATGCAAAACTGTGTACTGATATATATAAAATAAAATATATATACATATATTGATATTACCTGACATAATGTAGCTTGTTGCTTCATCGCTACACAACTATCCATAACATCCTTAATTTTTTTTTTATCTCTTTCTTGGGCTGCTTGGGTGTCTGTCAATAACTTGTCAATTCTGTTTTTATACTGAGTTACTTCTACAAAGAGAAACATTTGTGTGTTAATAAATTCATTTAAACTATAAATAAACATCTGTATAGTAAAATAACAAATGACAAAAGAAACTGACAAATGAAAATCCTTACCATTTAACTGGTATCTGAGAGAGGTTAACTCTGACACACAACGCTCTCCAGATGATTGTACACTTAACTTTTGTTGCAAATTGTTTAAATATAAATAAATGGCACTTACAGTGAACACTAATGTTATCAATAATATTAGAAATTTTTCTCTTGAATAAGGTAAAAATCTAGTAAACATCATATCACCCGATAAAGCACTATTATCTGAACATATAGTAGAAAATTCCGCCGATGCATAACACGATTTAATATTAGTAGAGAAAATTAAAAATGGTACTATATATATAAAATGTAAATAAAAACCAGAGTAAAAAAAAATCTATTTAGTCAATGAGGGAGCATTAAAAAAAGCATTAGTTCCCGAAATGAAACTAGATGTCGCTATGGTACTTTCTTGATATCTCCATGACAACCTTTCCGATTTTATTACATGTATAAAAGTAAATGAGGAAGTATTTAAAAAAAAAACATTAATTGCCAAAACCTAACTAGATGTCGCCACGGTACGCTCTTGATTTCTCCTTGACAACCTTTCCGATTTTCTTTCATATATAATAGTAAATTAGTTTTCAAAACTCAATAAACAACTCATATTCTATTTGTACTTTTTCGTTTTTGTATTGATATCTAAGTTTCGAAGTTTTCAAATTTCAGTTTTTTAATATGTTAGTTAAAAGGAACGGAAATTACTGTCTTTGGTCCATTTTTTTCCTGCAAAAATCAACTTTTGCTAGAGTCGCCATCTAGTGAAGGTACTTTTTTGTGCTTTCGTTTTTAATACTTCCTCATTGAAGTTCAATTTGGTAGCCATTTGTTGTACAGTGTGTGGTCTAGCGTTGTTGTTAAGTAGCAGTGGCGTAGAGCGACCAGTCTCGGTTGTTTAACAGCTACTTTTTCCAGCATGGATGGCAATTGCTGACAATAGACGTCTGCCGTAATCGTCTGGCCAGATTTGAGAAAACTGTAATGAACGACACCGGCACTAGTCCACCAAGCGTACAAGTAACTATTTGAGGTCAATTTTCGCTTGGGGCAGGATTTGACAGGCATGCCAGTGTCCAACCATTGCGATGAGCGTTTCCGATTATCGTAGAGAATCCACTTTTCATCACAGGTAATGATTCGATTTAAAAACCCTTCATTATTGTGCCGGTTAAGTAATGTAACGCAGCAGTCCAAGTTCGTTTGCCGGTTTGCATCACTCAATTCGTGAGGTACCTACCTTTCAAGCTTTTTAATCTTTCCGATTTGCTTCAAGTGGATTAAAACAGTGTTATCACTAACACCGCAGCCTGCAGCTAATTCGGACGTGATTTTGGATATATCCGCTTCCACAATTGCCTATAATTCTTCATTATTAACTTGGGTCTTCGGCCATCCACGGGGCTTGTTCTGCCGGTCGAAATTTCCAGAACGAAAACGTTAGAACCAAAAACGCAGTGTGTTTTCTTTTACGAAAAAACCGCCAAATACATCATTAATCCCTCGAGCTGATTCCGAAGCACTGGTACCATGGTGGATTGTTAATAACACGATATTTCAAGTTTTCCAATTTTTTATACTAGGTGACGTAAATATGACAAACAGAAGAAGAAAAAGCATATTTATTCACCCGAATACAAAAAGTAAAAATGATGACAAATACGCCAAATATCGAATTGCGCATCATCAGTCATTCATTACCAGTGGTCGGAAATAGGTAGAGTTATTCATGTACTTACTCTGACTTCATACAGCGAAAGAATAAAGTGGATATGCCTCAAATCTCGAGATTAATTTTAAAGAGCAGAAAAAATCGGACAAGGAAAATGATTCTGATGGGCCGTTTGAATAGGCAAAACCTCATGAGTCTAGGCTAGAAGCAAAGTATTCGCTGGTATTTATAAAAAAGGCGAAATATGCGTATGAGAATTTGCTTAAGACTATCAATAATTTGTATTGTAAATTAATATAAACTAATAAAAAATTTATGTTAATTATTTTTGTTTTATTTGTCTATCTCTGACATTGTTATTATTATTTAGTTGTAAGTTAGTTGGCCACACTAGATTGTTCATTAGAAATCCTGGGAAGGTCCACATTAATATCAACATTTCGATGCAAGTACATAATAACTCTACCTAATTCCGACCTCTGTTCATTACTCATGAGTTTATCTTGTTGAAGGTCATTTTAAGTCCTAATTCTTGAGAAAATGTCCTGAAATCTTGGCATTATACTAAAATCTTTCAGTGTCTCATCCATATCTATCATATCGTGGGCGAATCGAAAATAAGTGACGTACCCATCGTTGATCTTAATGCCGAGTCCATTCTAGTCAAGAAGCTTGAAGACGTCTTCTAGCGTAGCGTTGAACAGGTTAGGTGATATGACGTCATCTTGCCTAACATCATACTGCAGACGGATAGGCTTTAAATTCTGTTCCTGTTGGCGAATTGATATAGTGGCATTTTCATACAAGCAAACGATAGTCAATACGGCACTATTAGACAGAATGCAACACTGCCCAGCCCTGCGATTCTGTGAAAGTCTGAACCAGAATTCGGATTCACTCAGGTGCCCGAATACTCAATTTTGAATTGCATAAGTGAAGTTAGAAATGACATAGGAATAGAATATCTGAAACACGTATAATCAATCAATTTTGTTTTATATTTATATACAAAAAATGGAATCAATAGAAAGTCTTTACTAAATGACGTAAATTCGGACACATGAATGAATTCCAATTCTAGTTCGGATTTTTACAGAATCGCTCTGCAGGTCACGATTGATGTGATTTTGACACATTGGAGTTGCTCACTTTTTACTGTGATCAACTTCTCACTTTAGGTTGTCAGTTAAGTTGCCGAATAGGCCTGCTGGACGACATTTAAAGCTTAACATATTGTTCTGTGCTGTATTTCTGTAATTTTGTCTTTGTATTAGTCTGTTTGCCCGACGTAATACTACCGAACGAGACGAGATTTCTGTCGTGTAAAAAGTAAATGTCTGTCGTGGCGCGGCTCTACATATTTGGAAGACACTTTGTTAGTTTCACATTTCTGTTTTGTGTAATCGATCATTTGTTGATTGAAGACAAATAATATAGTATTTAATTTATTTGTAGGTTTCATATTCGAGTTAATAAATAATGTTAAAGGGGAATGTGTAATTAAAACCATTGAGGTACTGTTACAGTACCCGTACCTGAGCTACGTAGATCTAAAATAATTACTTTGAAAACTTCTAATTATCGCTTCAACCTGTTGATGGTAAGATTGACTTATTTAATTAATATTATAGTGTTATTGTTTTGTTTCGATTTTATCATATAACTTCAAGTTGCCTGTTGAAGCATGTGACTGCAAGAATAACTTAATTGTTGCAAGCATCAATGTTAATTAATATTTTTATTAAACTGTTACCCTTATTAATTTGCTAATGCTACAGGACTAGAACAATGTTTCAAAGTTTAGACTTTGACACCAAGCTGCATGTGTGCGTGAGCTGTTGCGATGGAGTGTTTGTATGTATTTAGTTACAGTGCGAATATATTAGTGCAATTATCATAAACATTTTAGGGACTTGAATCCCGTTACCATAAAATACTACAAAAAAAGTACCATCACAATATTTATTTTTAAACTACCTCTTTTCTAATAAGATAACCTAAAAACTGGATAATATTTTTGTTTATTTATCTACCTACTAGCATTCGAAAAAATCAACCGATTTTATCTATTTGAATAATTAAAATGTAATTGAATTAGCTTCTGTTTGCCCATAATTTTTACTAAGGTAAACAATTTGTTTAAAACATATAGCACCTACATATAACCTGAACTAAGAAGATTGTTTTTTCTAGAAACATGTTTGTAATTAACCCTGCTGTATTTTATAATTCAATAAACATTGTTTTGGTCATCTCATTATATCTTTTTACTAAATCAAAGTTTTCCAATGAATGTGCTGGCGATTTTCAATAGATCTCTTAGTGTTAAAATTTATTTTAATTTTAATAACATACCTACCTAAAATGTTTGTATCTATTAAGTTAATTAAAAGTATTTTTGTTTTACTACTGTCCCTTTTAGGAATGTAATTAAAATATTAGATGGACCTCCCTTCTCAGAGATTTTGTTTATTTGTTATAGAAATAATTCACTTATCAACCCCACTATTTTTGTTATTCTGTTTTTTTTTCCATTGTAACATATAAAACTTATATGTCAATATATGATCTACATTAGTTATGCAATGAATATTAAGTATTTATATTTGCTGAATATAATATTGATAGATTTATTTATGAAAATCGGTCCAGTAGTTTTGAGTCCATTCATTATAAACAAACATACAAACAAGGTTTTCCTCTTTATAATATTAGTATAGATATTTTAATAGTCCACCACAATCAGGACAAGGCTTTTTTTAATTGAAAATTATTTAGTACCAAACATAAATGTTTTTTTTTGTAGCTTAGAAATAAATAAGTTAAACAATATAGTAACAGAAACTACTGTCCTTATTCCTGGCATTAGCTTGGAAGTAGCCTAATATTAAGTTAATTGAACAACAACTACAATAATCTAATTATTGAGGTGCTGTCATACTACATCATCATAAACAAGGTTGTGTTGGAGTAAATTTACACTCATACTGCACTTAGTATTAGTCAAAATTCATATTATTAAACTGAGACTCAGTAAAGGTTAATACATTTCTACAGGAGTAATATTTACTCCTAGAAGGTAGTTGGTTTGCCTATTCTCTGTATAATATGAATTTGAACTAATACTAAAATTGCTATATTACTGTAAATTAACTCTGACACTAAACATTGTTTATTAATAGCACTGCCAGCGGTCAATCAATTGTTGGTATCTCAATGTTATACTTCTTTTGGATAATCAATTTGTTGATGACTTAATATAATTTTGATATGATTTTAATATATATAGGACATAATCCCTTATCATAAACTTGTAAAACAAGTTAAAAAAAGAGGAGGTTGTTAAATCTTTTTTGTTTAATTGCTCAGCTTTCAACTTATACTCTTAAGTTACAAGGTTCGTCAAAATAAGTTCAGTAGTTTTGAATATATAAACTATTAGCTTAAGCTCTTTACACAAAAAGTAAAAATTAATTGACTTATGAAAAGAGTTAAAATTAATGACCTTTTCAAAAAAGGAGGCTGTGAGTTTAACTGTTTATATTTATGTATGTCATTAACCGATAAAAAATAGATGTTTTCATTTTGATCTGTATGTTTTTAACTAACCTTAAAAGAATAAAGTTATCACTTTGATATGTGTATGTGACATTGTTGGCATATGGCGCATTATTCATATATGTTAGTCATGTGCTTCTAAAACACATGTGCTACATTTTGCAGGTGTATATTATGTATGTGTGTCAATTGTTGTTGCTTCTAGAATTGTAGGTGGGTTAGGTTAGGTTAGAACTACCTTCACAGAAAATATTTATCCCAAAATAAGTATGTTTAAAGTGTCCATTTATTATAAGTCACAAGTAATATGGATTGTTGATAAAGTTTAATATTAAAATAAGAAAGAAATATCTTTTCTTTTTTTTTAATTTAACCGATTTCAAAAATTCATAATAAAGAGACAACTAAAAAGAGAGAAACAATAGCACATTATTTTTTACTGAAAAGAGATAAATAATACTACAATAATATTAATATCACGTAAGTTAAGAGAAAAATAATCACTTAAGACACATTTTCTGATAAGTGCTGTTTTACTTCTTATTAATAACACGGCTGGCACAACGACCTCAAAAAATTTTTGGTGTATCCACATTTTGTTTCGATTTTATTTAAGATAAAAATTTTGTGGTATTGTTTCTCTCTTTTCAGTTGTTTCTCTTTATTACGAATTTGAGAAGTTGGTTTTGGTTTTATGTTTTAAATCAGTTCATAGTAGTTTGAAAAAACTATTTAGTTGGGCTTGTGAAACCTAAGAAAAACTTAAGTTTGTACTTTTTCTCAATTCAGAAACCGGCTGTGTGTATACAGATCGTGTTTTGTCTTTAATTGCAGTGCTGTCTTTATCTTACATAGCATCACAATAGAGTTGAGATTATACATCAAGGTAAAGCTGGAGACGCGTTTTCAGCTGGCTATGCGTGCGCTTGAATAAAAGGCTATGTCATAGTAGCACTAAGTGTCAAACTTGCCTTTAATTGCAGTGCGGTCTATAATTACAATTAACATACATGAAGTGATTTTTCTGATACATATATGAAGTTTTCTCAGTTTTAAGGCCCCATACCCAAAGGGTAAAACGGGAACCCTATTACTAAAAGTTCGCTGTCTGTCTGTCACTAGGCTATTTCTTATGAACTGTGGAAGTTCGTTGAAGTTTTAACAGATTTTTTTTTCAAATTTTCATTTAGGCATTTCTTTTGTTATTATTCGTGATTTGGTTTTTGCGCCTGTTTAGAAAACTGGGCCGCAGACAGATGTGCATTTAGCCTTGAAGGCATACCTTCTTGGTTTCAACATTGTCTACGTTAATAGTATGAGTTGACAAAATATACCTACCTACTCTCATCATAATCTGCTACACTCTGTTTTGTATGTTTTTATATATGTTTAATTTTTGTAGGTATTGGTACATTATTTTGTGAAAGATTTGAGTGTATAATGTATTATTTGTTTTAGATACTAAATCAAGATGGCGGAAGCTCACTCAGCTGTTGCATTTTCTTTTGCGATTACCCATGATGGATGGGACGTCAACTTTGACCGTGAGGTTCTATATTTGGTGTGGGAATCCGGTCTTCGTTCCTGGAAAAAGCGACTGGCGAGATTTAGGGTTTGTTTGGTATTTTGTTAATTGCATATACTTACTAATATTATAAATCAATATTCGAAATATTGATAGCATTCCACAATGTATATGATGGTAAATATATAAAAGTCGACAAAGTCGTTTACTTCCATCACAAGCACATACGTACATGTAAGAGATATTACTACATTATTATAAAATTATATGAATTAAACCACAACATAAATACGATTATGGCACATGTAAAATTTATAGTGTGTGTTACACCGACGCAAATGGGCAAAAGCTTTCACTCAAGACAAGAGTGACCATAACACTGACTTTCTGCTTTTATCTGGGTGTAGAGGCTAGGAAACGTACATCGAGATCGACAGCATGTATTTACGACATAAAATAAAAATAATAATAAAATAAAATAAATTTATAATGTAATTTGTATAAATTAATATATATATATATATATATATATATATATCCGACCATGGATATAAAATTAGTCCGAAAATGTTAAATATCCCATTGTTTATATCTTAATTATAACATATAAACTTCTTGATTCCAAATTACTAAATTGTTTTATCTCTTGACACATCCGCTAAGGCCAAAGAGTAAATTTAGGTATACATCCAGTTCTGTGATGACATGGAAATGCTGTCAGTCTAAGGCTATACAACCACCAGAGGTACCCAAATATCCAACTTTTTGTGTACCCATATTTTTTCAAATGCGCCATAACTGTTGTGTGGTAATTCTTCAGTTCTTCAGCTACGTCGTAACTACAACTGACATGCCGATCTTGCTCCACTTTTTCAAAAATGGCATCCATTTTATTAGTAACAGGGCGACCGAAGCGACTTACATTGTTGACATAAAAATTTCCAGACTGAAAACGCTTAATACTAAGGAATCATGTCCAATTTTGACCTAAAAATTTACTGACGCGTCTCACTAGACATGAAATAAGTTAAAAATAAGCCACATCACTATGTAGCTTATTTTTAACTTATTTCATATCATGTAACAAAGTTTTACAATAAAATCAGGATAAAAATTGCGATGCTGGTAAATATTTTCAAAAGTTACCCTTATTCGATCGGACCCTACAATGACGGTTCGCTGCACGTTGCTACGTTTCGTTTCATTTACTATAGATAAATATTCTTTCGTCATAAGGTTAAGACGTACAAACTAACAATTACATCTTAATTTATTTCCACATTTACGAGTCAAACTATAAAAAGTTTTAATTGAATGCATTAATTTTTAAAATTGCTTTACAACGATCTCGAGTTTAGACAGCTGATAAAACCTCAAACCATTATTTACAAATTACAAATTTCCCTAGCCTCCGGATGAAAAGATGCTTAGATATTATTATATTATATGCAAAAAATAATTTAAATTATCACTAATAGTAGGTAGACACAATCTTTAAAAAAAACAGGTGACAGGTCAATCAATGTATGGAAAGTGGACATGATTCTTTGTACAACTCTCATAGAAACTGCTCTTGTATATTATGATGGAGGTGTTGAAAATGTGGATTAACACAATTAAAACTAAATTTAATTTATGCAAGCAAATTGTTACGAGGACTTTCATTTAACATTGATATATTATCTACAGAATAGTGTTCACAATGGTGTATATCCTGGACATCTTCAGTCTCTTTACGTACTATGGAGTCTTCTGGTTGCTGCCCATTTTGGTGGCTTCAATATACCATTCGGACTCGTTCAAAAGGCGTTAACGATACTTCCTGGGTATGTCTATGGCTTTTGGTTGGTATACAGTAGAATGTATGTTTTTCAATATTAAATATTACTAATTAAATTTTACATTTTAGCACTTCTACTTTGTGGCAAATAATAGCTTGCCTACTAGCAGCCTTGACAATGTGGCTATCAGTTATTTTCTTAATGAGATATACACTCAAACTACTGTTAATGTACAAGGTTTGTTGAATTTAATATTTAATATTTGTGAAGTTATACTCAAATATTGATTATTATTACAATAACTGAATATATTTTAATATTGGTCAAGGTTTTTTCACAATAAGTGTACATTTATTGAATTTTTTTCAGCAATTATGTTGCTCGAAAATTTATGTAATGTACAAGACGCGCGATGATAGCGCGTGTTCACTTTTTATGGCATAACTGTTTGTCATTTATTATGCAGAATAGTTAATGGCATAAATTTCATTTCGCAGATAATCGTTTAGAATACTCTCACACATGTTCTTTTTTACATGTTTATCCTCTACACAAAATTTTAAAGCAGTTATATTAAACCAATTTAGCTAATATGTTGGGAATGATCCAAGATGGCGGTCTAGCTATTTTTTTATGGTGCTGTCTGGAATTGGTTTCTTCATTCTAAATACAATATAGGGGACCATTCAATTTACGGACAAATAAATTTAAGCATTCTCATATTATGGGTATCAAAAGAAATGATTTGTTGAGAAAATTATTATAATATAACTAGAAATATAGGAAAGCATTAGAATGTTTTCATATAAACAAGCTTGTTTAAATATACCACATATATAAAGTCACGTAGTTGTTATTGATTTAAAAATAAAAAAGGTATTGTTTAACATTATAAAGCATACAGTAAATTAACATTAAATTATATATGCCTCCATAAAATATATATAAATGTAATTTGTTTTTGAACAATTTTATTTGACTTTCTCATTTTTACTATCCAATATCGTATAAAATACGTATTTTGGATCGAATTTTATGATCGTATATGGATCTTATTCAGCTTTCATACGAAATGCCCACGTGAGAGCAGTAATTAGGTAGTGATATTATTCCTATATTTGTAGGGGTGGATGTACGAGTCTAGAGCCCCTGGCGCGAAGATATCATTGAAAACAAAATTGTGGGCCAGCATTGTTAAAGTTCTCTCTGGCTGGAACAAACCTAAACTTTATAGTTTTCAAGGATCTTTGCCGAGACTACCTTTGCCCTCTGTCGAAGACACCATGCGACGGGTAAACGATTTTATTAGTAAAATAAACAAACTCATTTAGGTAAATCACTTATATTAAAGTAAATAAATCAAACTTATATTAAAAAAAGTTTTGCCTTTTTGCGTTACATACTTAATTACATTTATTTGCCTAGTATAATTACAATTTACCTTGTATAATTTTTAGTATCTAATTAGTGTCCGTCCGCTTTTGGACGATGAGAATTACAAAAGAGTAGAAAGGCTGGCAAAAGAATTTGAAGAGACTATTGCAGTAAAGTTGCAACGTTATCTCATTTTGAAATCATGGTAAGTATTATTATAGTTATTTACATTATTAATTTAACGTTAAAATCATTGCTACACACTCATTAATTAACTTATCGTATGTGTTCTTACCTTTATGTTTTTTTGTATTTTACTATTTTCCCGAAGGAAGTAGCCACATATCTATTCAATAACCACCTGTCATAGAAGATATCGTCTTCGTCTCTTTTATCATACAAGAGCAGGGGTGTTGCTACCATGTTAGTAACGGTAGATAACATTGATACGTAATACAGGAATCTCGTATCTTACAAAAACTGTAAGTGTTAGCATAAATATCAAAGCAACAATAATTGAAATGATAAAGAGCCATCTTTAACGAAACTTTTGTTAACAAACCCCTTAGGCTGAGGTCCTAGACCAATTCTGAAGATACAATACGAAAAGTGGTAGAGAACTAGATGTGGGGTTAGTCCCGTATTTTTATTCCTTCCTTATTCCCTTAACATTATTTAAGTTATTTTCAACATTAGTATCCGTGTGGTTTTCTGAGCGTATCATTACTATTAGTGCCGTTTATAAAATTCGGAATTGCGTATTACATTTGTCATCTCCCGATTGAAATCAGAGCTGGGTCAGTATTACATTATAAATGAAAAACTTGCTACTGTGCAACTAACAATATTGGATTCGGTCAGAATTTTTGCAACTCTGCCCGTACACTTGCGAGCAAGAACCAGTTGCTTTATTTGAGCAAAATAACATAAATCATGTTGGTATCAAAGTATTACCACTGACATGATGCTACGTTGTTAACATTACAGACATCAACGTTACCCAAATTCTTTTGTAATGGGAACATCCAAGAAATTCATGAAACCTGGGTCTTCTCAAGACCAGAATAGATAGGCTAATTCTAGGTAAGCATGTGTACCACCCTAGTTATCATCAATTATTCATTGGCGACTAATTGAGTTCGAAGCTTGCTTATGTCATATTTAATTATCTTCTACTAAAATTATGATTCTTATGCTTTCAAAAACCCCTTTTGATTTCATAATAACATGGAAAATATATTTGTATCTAGCTATCTGATAGTATGCAAATATGTAGTTATTTGTTTTGCAAAGTAGTTACGTAGTATAGTTAGTTATATGTACGAGAAAATTTTATCGAATCACGGGTCGTAGCTTAGATACTTAAGACAAATAAATATATTATATAGCATTGTATCATATAACATGATTTTTCTTTGTAGGTAAAAAATCTTTAGAGTAACAGAATATGTTTTTTTTTTATAAAATGGAGGGCAAATGACTGCGCTCCACCTGATGGTAAGCGGAGGCGCAGTCCAAACGCGAGGACAGCTAGTGAAAACAGTACGTAGGTACTGCACTAGCTATCTATAGTTTATCTATAGTTTTTTTTATAGAAATCTACGTCTGTACTAAAATTTGATTTATATAACACTGGTGGTTCTGCTTAATAATTGGAGAATAAAAAAAAACTAAATAAAATCCTAAAAGAAGTCTCGTGTTATGAGAAATAAACAATGGGAATTCTGCGTCATATGAAAAGTAAACGAACGGCTTATGTATTACGAGGGTCAAACTGAAAGTTCTTAGAACTGGCCACTTATGAACAATATAATAAAAAAATAATTCTAAAATTTGAAAATATAACTCTTTGCCAATATTACTGAGTATATATTTCATTCATTTGTGATTTGTTTTACGATTTGGCGGCAAATTGAAAATTGTCTGTGTCACGTCATCATGAATTTAACACGAGAAAATTTTCGTGCAATGATTTTTTATGACTTTCGATGTCATTTAAGTCAACAAGAAAGTTATGATAGACTACGATTGGCCTTTCACGATGAAGCCCCATCTCGTGCGACTGTTTACAACTGGTTTAATGAGTTTAAACGTGGTCACACTAATCTCACTGATGATTTACGTGAGGGACGGCCTTCTACGGCGACGACTGAAGATAACATCTGTGTTGTGCGGCGTATGATAGAGACTGACAAAAGAGTGACCTATCAACAGATTCGGACAAGCTTAGGCATCGGTATGAGTCAAGTGCACAAAATCCTCCACGAACATTTAGCGGTCAGGAAGCTTTGCGCCCGGTGGATACCTCATAATTTGACTGAGGCTCAAAAACTCCATCGTGTGGATTGGTGTCGTAAAATGATTGAAAGATTTAACGGAGGTGACTCAAATGCTGTGTTCGACATACTAACAGGTGACGAAAGCTGGATTTACTGTTATGATCCTAAAACCAAAAGACAATCTGCTCAGTGGGTGTTTCCTTTCGAGGAGTTGCCAACTAATGTGAAGAGAGATCGAAGTGCGGGAAAAAAAATGGTGGCCTCGTTCTTTGGAAGGATAGGTCATTTTGCAACAATTGTGTTAGAGGATCAAAAAACAGTTTCTGCAGAATGGTACACTACCAATTGTTTGCCACTCGTCTTGGAAAAAGTTCGAGAGAAACGACCTCGCAGTAGGATCCTCCTTCACCACGACAACGCCTCGTCGCACACCGCCAAGCGAACGATCGACTATTTGGCGACATCAAACGTTGAATTACTGGGTCACCCGCCGTATAGCCCCGACCTTGCGCCTTGTGATTTTTATTTATTTCCAAAAATTAAAGAAAAACTTAAAGGAAAGCGGTTTATGAATGCTGAAGAAGCGGTGGCTGCGTATCGCGATGCCATTGAAGAGACCCCTAAGGACGAGTGGGCAAAGTGCTTTTCCCAGTGGTTCCATCGCATGCAGCGGTGTATTGACGTGAATGGACAATATTTTGAAAAGATATAATAAAACTAATAACTGGCTAATGTAATCAGTTTTTGATTTTCTAAGAACTTTCAGTTTGACCCTCGTATGATTTTCGGAAAGATGAAAATAGGTATATTGCAGTAGTTCGGATCTTGGGGAAATTTAGGTGTTATATGATCAGATTCACCTCCAAAGTATTTTGTTTAAACATATTTAATGAGATTAATGTATTAACAATATTAAGCAGCGTAGTCGTGTGCTTCCAATCGGCAGTCGTTAACCTCTTTATCAGATTATAAATAATCTAATCACATGAGGTCTCGCTGTTACGGATCCAGTTCGTACTGGATACATAATCCAGTATAGCAATTGTTTAATAATTATAAATATACCAAATATTTATTCTAATGATATTTTAATTTTGAAACATAAGTAATAGCATAACATAATTATTTGGGCCCGTTTGCTTGTGTCCGTAATGACGTCGCGATATAAATAATAGCGTTAGCCACTGTCTCATCTTTTTACGTATTTTTTTTCATATTTTTATATATGAAACATATACTATGTATTTAGGTAGTTCTTAATCCACACTACACATCCTCTCACACCTAACACCATATCGTTATTCGCTGTACGAGTGCTCGCATGACATCGTTATTATCAACCTATCCCGCCTCCTATTCTTTCGTCATAATAAAATCTTTATTATCTTTTCAATAGTGATTTTGATGTAATGAATATTTATGACTGTACTCTGTTGTATTAACAGTTATTTATGTTTAACTGTTGATATCAATTACATTGTCATAAAGGTCTCGCTTAAATACTTAGTTGTATAATCTCTCATATACAGTGTTATTGATAAATAAAGTTTAGCGTACGAGTAAATTCACGCTGAGGCTGCACTTAGTATCAGTCAAAATATATATTATTAAACAGAGATTTAGCGAAGGTTAACTTAGTACGAGGTTCGACGGCAGTAATATTTACTCCCAGGAGGTAGTAGTTTTGCTTATTCGCTGTATAATATGAATTTGGATTGGACTAATAGGTGCTCAAATTAACTCTGACGTTAAACCTTGTTTATTAATAGCACTTGTAAAGTATAGCAAAAATGTAAGGTACCTATATCTTGATATCTAATTTACACTGGTGGATGGGGTCAGGGCGTGGAGTGCGAGCGACCTCTGCGCGCTCATCTTATTGGTCACTATAGTAATTGGCAACTAATGCGAGAAACAGAAATCGCCTGCACCCCGCGGATGTAATAGACCAGTGTAAATATGTCACAATGAGGTTTATTAATTAATTTTAATTGTTGTTTCATCTTCATAAAACACAGAGCTAATACCTTAGAACATTGTAGGTGGTCTAGCAACTACGTGTCTGATTGGTGGGAGGAGTACGTGTATTTACGTGGTCGTTCACCACTAATGGTCAACTCCAACTTCTATGGCACCGACGCTATCTTACTGAACAACACATCCAAACAGGCGGCCCGTGCTGCGACCTTCATATATCTTTGCATGAGGTTCAGGAGGCTTATTGACAGACAGGAACTTGAACCGGTGAGCATATGCTAAATTTAACATGCATAGTGTGACGTCACTGTATTTAACTACACAGTTTTCCAATCAGTGCACAATTTTCTACGATTTAGTATCGCTAATAAACATTAATTAAGAATAACAATCAGCGGTGTTGTCTTGTAAAAAAAAAATGGTTTAAGTGTAACTGACAATCAATACTGAGATATATTATTTCACACTAATTGTACGGAATTATATAGGTTTTTGAACCATTCCTATCACGAATGTACTGGGCGAGTGACAGCATATAGCAACTATCAGAGATTTTATTTTGCTCAATGTGGTTTTAGGAAATCCTAATTCGGTACAAATCAAGCCAGTATTTGTATGTTTTTTAATCAACATTATATTTTCTGTTGGTATTATGTAAACTAAATACGGCAGCTTGTTTTTTGTAGAATTAACATCAACGATTAACGCCCTGGGCTATTCGCTGTTTAGATAATGCTGCAGTCTATGGTGCCGTTATGTTCATGGCAATACGAGAGATTGTTCAACACGGTCCGAGTGCCCGGTATTGAGACAGACAAAATTGTCCACTACCAGGACTCGAACCATGTAACCGTACATCACAAGGGAAGGTACTTCAAAGTGATCGTGTACTCCAGAGGTCGCCTGTTGAAGCCATGTGAGATTCAAGCGTAAGTAATAAATGTTAATACTTTTACTGATAAGAAATATAGCGGTTGTTTAGTTATTTCTGTTCATGTCATTCTAATGTCACTTTCATTTCGATTGGAAAAGACATAGAAACTAAAAAATATACAACTGATTCTGAACTTAAAAACGTGATAAATAATAGTTATCTCAAAAGCGACTTATTATCGATGACACGGATATAATTACAATGTCAAATTTAATGGTAAACAACAGTTACTATGGCAACGAGTAGCTCGGTGGCATAGTAGATAAGCGCCGCGGCTCGTGATCGTTGTTGTTAAGCAACTTTCGCAAGGGTCGGTCACGGGATGGGTGACCAAAAATTATTATCTCGAGCTACTCCGTGCTTCGGAGGGCACGTTAAGCCGTTGGTCCCGGCTGCATTTGCAATCGTTAATACCACGTTAATACCCTCCAATCTGTATTGGGTCAGCGTGGAGGGTCATGGCCTATCCTCCTTAACCATCCATAAGGAAGGCCTGAGCCCCTGCAGTGGGGACGTAAAAGGGCTGATGATGACTATGGTAACGTTTTCACTCCTATTTTCATCCTCATTGACTATGTTTATCTCACATGATGTGACTTCCCGTAGTTTTCCTCTTTATAATTTAAGTATTGATATAGATCTATATAAATAAAAATATTCAACATGTGAAAGAAGATTTTGTTTATTTGCTCGACATAATTTTTTCCAATAATTCTATACTATAAAGAAGAAAGATTTGTTTGCATTGGTTAGGCTCCGAAAATATTGGACCGATTTATAAAACTCTCTCCTCTACGGGAAGCTACTTAATACGCGTTGGACATAGGCTGTAATTGAATTCCAAATAAATAATACTTTCTTTTCTAGCTGAGATACATGAAATAGAATACATACCATCTAAATATTTAGGTGATATATGGTGAAAAACGAATTTTGTTTTGTCATAAAAAGAAAACTACTGATTCGATTTCGATAATATTTAAATAGACCACCTCGATCCATCTTTCTTTCGAATAAAAAAAAAAATTTAAAAGTTGGTCAATAATTAGCAGAATTATCGGTGAACATAAAAAACATACATCGCCGTCGAACATACAACCTCCTCCTTTTAGATTTTGAAGTCAATTAAAAACACTGGTTATACAACGCTTGGGCAAAAAGTCCTTTCGCATATAGTATACAAAAACTTCTAATAAAATCTTTCCGGCTATACCATTTGTATCTGGCTGGTTTCAGTATCATTAAAAAGCTTAATTTTTGAAAAAGATAACTCCGAATTCAAATTACGAAAATTTGTGATTTTCATTTGTTTTTCTTACTGTCAAAATGAGTGAATCTAATGAAGAAATTCGATACATTTTAAAATTTTATCACATAAAGGTAAATGTGTATCACAAGCCGCGAAAGTCATTTGTGACTAGTGCGGGTTCTATGAGAGTAGCTCTGAGAATTTGGTTTAAGCGTTTTCTGTCCGGAAAGATGTACGTCGCTCCGGTTGCCCTGTTACGGATGAAATGGATGCCATTTTTGAAAAGTGGAGTGAACCGATGTAGCTCCACTTTTTCAAATATGCCGATGTATATTTATAGTTACGACGTAGTTGAAGAACTGGGGAATGACCACATAACTGTTGGAGCATTTGAAAAAAGTCGGTTATTTGGATACCTCACGAGCTCATTGAAAGAAACCTCATTTTCTTTATTACGGCGTAATGAAACTGAACCATTTTTGAAGATGGTGATAAACTGTGCGATTAAAAGTTGATCATGAACGATAAAAATGTGTGAAAAAGGTCGTGGTTAAAGGTCAGTCAGGCAGCACAGACTGAGGCGAAACCTCATCAACGGATTAACTCGTAACAAGGTGATATTGTGTGTACGGTGGAATTGGAAGGGCATTATTTGTTATGAACCGTTACCGCCAGGCAGGACCATCGATTTTGAACTCTACTGCGAACAACTGATGAAATTAAAGCAGGAACTTGAGAGAAATCAATAGAAGGGGTGTGGTTTTTCATTATGATAACGCTAGACCTCATACATCTTTTGCCATTCAGCAAAATTTAAGAAGGTTTGGCTGGGAGGTGTTAATTTATCCGCCGTATGATCCTGACCTTGCACCTTCAGATTTCCACTTGGTTCGGTCTTTTCAGAATTCTTTAGACAATGTTAGGTTAACATCACGCAAGGACTGCCAACACCACTTGTTGCGGTTTTTTGATCAGAAGCCCCAAAATTACTATAGCAATGGGATCATGTCCCTACCTACAAGATGGCAAAAAGTTATCAAACAAAATGGTACCTACATACTTTAGTTAAATGTAAATAAATGTTATAAAAAGAATGCGAAGAAACTTTTTCTCCAACCTATTAATTAGTTATTAGGAAGGCCTTTTGTATAGGTATATTTCTAGTTATTACTTCGTTAAAGACTATACTTACATACATATGAGTAGTCTACTTTCAATTTCTGCCTTTTAAAAACAAAGAACTATCATACAAACCGTAAATCTGTTCTTAGTACACCTGTGCGATATAAGAACAATTTACGCTCAATATTTTATGTCTATAACCAGCGGGTTATACTCTGCGTTGTCTGTCGGTCAGTTAGCTGACTAACTACGACAAAGATTCTTATACTATATAATGTGTACTTTTGTCGTTATATTTTTTATTTTTATTATGAAATGCCATCTTTCCTAATCAGTATCAGGCTTTTAATTTTCTTTTTGTTTTGTATATTCTTATTTTTTCTTTTCATTGGTGTATTAATTTATTACACCGTTGTCGGCGGCGTCTTTTGTTTTACCCCTAGTCAATCCTTTATAATATATCTTACTCTACTACATTTTTTTTTCCTACTTAACTCTATTTATCTGATATATATTTCCTTACTTATTCAATTTTTTTTTGTCGTTATATTAGAGGCGTCGATAATAATTGATTCATTAGTCAAAAACATTTTAGTTACCTGCCTATCAAAATCTCAAATTTGGTAAGCGTACACGAGATCAGCTAGGATTAGTCCTGCGCATAGCACACACGTACATTTTCTGATTATGTAAAAAGACCTTGATAGTTCCATTAGTAGAGGGCAGTTGTATGCTGCTCAAAGGATATTCATTAATAAGGCAATTAAAGTCTGTTCACTCGGACAATGTTGATAAATTTAAAATTTTCTCAATCAATATGTTATATATAACATTTGGAAATGGAAAACAGAAATAGTCCAGCTTTAGACTAAGAAATGTACTTATGATTCAATCAATTTGTAAAAAAAAAATTTTATGTAAACAAATATTTTGTTGTGATAATGTTATTTGAAATGCGATAAGATAGTACACACAACGTCTCTGACGTTATCGTGTCTGGGGAGCTCTAAAAATATCGAGTTCAATGCCAAAGTCCTAAGCCGTAGTAGATTGGATATCCGTATACCGCAGTTACGGTGACGGTGGAGCCCTACACCTTTATTACTCATTGTAACACATTTTTGGTGCCAGGAACTAAATATAATATGAACCACGTAGAAATTTTGAATATTAATTGATTCAAACACGAAATTGTTAAATCGTTAAATAAATAATTTTCAACATACTTACGTGGTATTGTTATAATATATAGTATTGCTGTTGAATTATAATGTTACCGACTAAAAATAATAGCCCTCAGATCATAATGAAGTAGTCCTAAATGCATTAGTCAAACGAGAAATATCAATTAAAATAAAGTCAAATTTGCTACAGTCTGTCTGCATATTTCTTTTTGCTAATTTTTATTCGTTTTGTTACATGACAATAGTGTGACGTAAAATATTATATATTCAAGTAAGAGGATATAATACAATAACTAATCAATACCAGCTGTAAAAGATCGTTACAAATGTCAATGTTCATTTACAGCAAATAAAACAAAATGTTGCTCTGACTTGAAAATTGTGTATTACAGTATCTAATTAGATTTATTTATCCGATACAAAAGACATTTATTTATTTTTACCTGACTACTACTACTACCTGAGTTCTTGATACAACTTTTAACTTCTCTGACATGTTATGTTACAAACAAATGCACACGTTAGAGAGGACTTTTTGTATTGCAATGCTCCCTAGGCAGATACCTCATAATCGAATCTGAAATATTAGATTACAGGCAAATGCTTCAAGTGAGATTGCACCCTTATATGTATAATCATGTAATCAGCAAAAGATAATGTATATCTTCTTTCAAATCAAATTCTAGAAATCTAAATATATGGCGTAAATGGCACTGTTTATTCAACCCGGATACGGATACCGTGACAGTTCTACTCTTTTACCGATAACGAATAACGTAGGCGAATATTGTGAGATTATTTGATTATATCAGCTATCTATTTTATAAAATATTTATCCAACTCAAGCGTTGTTTGGAGTCGTGTCGAAATTGATTGTCCACTGAAATCTAAAGCAAATAATATAGATACCTATATAATAAAGTTAGAAGAATTACATTTATAACTCACTGTTTTCCCGCGACTTCGTCTTCATAAATTATACTCTATTTTACTCGTGTATGACGCCGTTTCCCGTGGCTGAAAGAATTTTTAAAATCTTTAGTCTGTAGTTTTTGGCCTATTCAACACAAAGAATCAAATCTTTTCTCTTTATAAAAAAAAAATTGATTAGGGACAGTCCGCGATTTTGAAAATTTATCAGAAATAATTTGATGAAATATCAATATTAAGGAAAATACAAACTAAAAAACTTTTTATTTCACAATAATATTATATCCGTATTATTTTCTTATGATACTAATTTTTCCGCTTATTACATCATAAATATATCATCCTGAGCAATACCTATATTTTAGTGCAAATATAGTTCAAACATAATATGTAGGGGAGAGGGTGGCAAGTCGAGGTACTTAAGCTTTGAAGGTCGATAAAATAAAAAAATACACAATGAAATAATCATATTTATTTATTAAATAACGAATTATTGTTACTATTCCAATATTTGGTGTCAGTAGCAACTTTTAGTTACATATTTTAGAGAAAAAAAATATGAATAAAGAAAGGTGTTTTGCCCCGTCTTGCCCCATGGTGCTGGTAAGATGGGGTGATGAAAATGATCCCAGAGAAAGTTGATTACTTAGGGCTGGTAGAATTCGCAGACGTGCATGGCTTCATCAACATCATTATCTATTCCTGCGCAGCTATTATGAGACTATCTTCCACATACTGAGCTTGATATCCACCCTTCAATGGAAACAGAATATACTTCCGAACAATACACGCATGGCCTGTCCCCCTCTTCTTCACTTTCATCTTCTGATGATGAGACTCTTCGTCGTTTAGCGTTTAAATTTCGTTGTTCGGCTATTTTTACGGAAAAGAAACAAGAACATCATTTTTCTCATTGGGGGGCAAGAGTTACCCCATCTTGCCTACAGAGCCATTTTCTAGTAATAAAAACAAAAAAAAAATACCAGTCAACAATCTTAAGGAAACACAATGCCTACTTTATTATAGAATAGTTTAAGCGTCAATCACAGCAACACCTCACCAGCTAGCGTTATTGAACAAACCACAGTCACGTGTCAAACCCGAAGAAAATATGATAAGCAGTTTGCAGTAAAATACTTTTTTGACTGTTTTCGATATGTGTGCACTTGCGAACCATCAATCGCTGGGTGACTGTTAAGTATCATGGTGGCGCATCGAACGATGAATAAACGAGTGTGATTGGTTACTTTGAACTGTGAATTTCGCTGGTTACCCCGTCTTACCTCATTCTCCCCTATATATTTTATTTATCATCATAAAGCGATTGACAAATTACACTAATAGTGAGAGTCAAAACCTTAAAACTAAATGCAGGCTGTATTTAATACCTGATTTGGTTTAATATAATGTAACTAAGATACGAGGAATATGTTATAGAATATATTTTACTCAACATCCACCAATATTCCTTATGTAATTAGGAATGTTTAAAATGCTTCAAGATGACCTCGTGTTCGAGAAAAGTCTTCATTGAAGGTCGAATACAAAAACAATATTTATTTACAGTTTTTTAGCTCCATCTTATCACGGCCAGTCGATGCATCACTAATATGCTTAACAAATGAGGTGTCTAATATTTTTAATAAGCACTTGGGAAGTTTTAAGAAAGTCAATAAACATTGGTGTTTGCATATTCTTCGGTAATTAGTATCTTGTAGTTTAATATACAATGATACACCTCTGACTTTACGGGTGTGAAATAGACGTCCAAGGGTTTTTCTTTATAAAAAAAAAATATTAGGGACTTGACAGATTAAATATATATGTGTGTTTGTAAATATATTTTTACGGTATTGTAAAGTTTTTATTTATTTGAATATATCTTGAAATTCATCAATTTGAAGGACGTATAATCAATTAAATTATAAAGAAAAAGTAAACCATATTTGTATTAAATCTTCAAATGCCATTGATATGCCTATCAAGTTGTATGTGACTATTATTAACTGTGTGTATTTAGTTTCTAAGTTAACTGTATGCAATCCAATGAATACATAACAGCAGAACAAAGTGGGAACTATATACACCGCGTCTCGCGTGATGCTGCGCGGTTCGATTTCAGATAACTTATTTGGTATGGGAATGAAAGACCCGTGATCTTTGTTAGTCACGGGATGGGTGACCAAAAAATATTGTTTCGAACTACTCTATGCTTCGGAAGCACGTTAAGTCGTTGGTTCTGGCTGCGTTTGCAGTCTTTAATACCCTCTAATCCGTATCGGGCCAGCTTGGAGGGACAAGGCCAATCCTGCTTAACCATCCATAAGTAATGTCTGAGCTCCTGCAGTGGGGACGTAAAAAGGCTGATTATAAAATAAATAAAAAAGTTGTCAACTAGCGTATTCTAAAACCACTTTCGATTTTTTCTTACAGTCAAATTCAGCAGATTCTTGATGACGATTCTGCACCGGCGGTGGGTGAAGAGAGACTAGGCGCCCTTACGGCAGGTGAACGCTCTCACTGGGCCCATATACGTCAGACTGAATTCAACCGTGGCCACAACCGGACCTCGTTGCATTGCATTGAAAGGGCAGCTTTTAATGTTTGCTTGGGTAAGTAACCTGGTATATTCTGTTTATGTATGTATATTTTCACGATCGACACGATTAGACAGAAACGACCAAGAATGAGTAACTTTCTTTAACTTCAGGTTGGTTTGACTTTTATTGGTTTCCCTTTTCTATTGGTTTTATCAAATGTGATTAAGTGAGCATTAAAGATGATTAAAATAGCAAAAACATTGTCAGAAAACTACACTGTTTGGGTATAACCTTCAGAGGACACTTGGACAGTTATATATTGGATTAGATATTAGTCAGCGATTAATATAAAAGAATAGCACAATATAGTTAAATTAAAATAAAGAAGTTTAGTCCTTAACAGCTTACTTTAATACAAACGGAAATCCGTTACAGTTTACTCACATTCTTAGCATGGTCTGCAAATTTTGTGAGGCTTTCCTCCGCAAATCTACCTTCATAATGAAAGTAATCCACAGGGGCATACCCACTAAATTCCTCCGATGTTCTTCTCCATGGAACATGGTGTACGGAAACATCCTTAGGGTAATTTTGCCCCGGATGTCCCAGTTTTTTGTGGGGATGCTCCTACGGAAAAACTTGGGCGAATTTCTTAACCTGTGGTCTTAAGTGGTTAGTGAAGAATAACAGAAAACCTTTTCACAAAAAACAGAATTGCATAATAGAACATGTGAGTGGTCCTTGACGAGATAGAAATTTGTCAAATGGTCCCTAACGATGGAAAAGATAAGAAACACTGGTTTTGAGGGTTCTAGGGCGGCTTTTGGCAACTCGTGAAACTGCCACTTTCGGTGTAGAATTTTATTTATTTTTGCCATGACAACCTTTTACGATATTTATGATTTGATATGTAGCTCTGAAACCATCGATTTACTTTTTTGCAGACGATGAAGAGTATGGTTTTGATGAGAAAGATCACTCCTCGTTAGATAAATACGGTCGTATTCTATTGCACGGCAAGGGCTGCGACCGCTGGTTCGATAAATCCTTCAACCTCTGCTTTAGCACCAATGGCTTCGTGAGTATTTTCTAAGAATGTATATAATAATTACAGATATTGATTTGTATTTAATTTGACTTATTTATCCTTATTCGAAAGCGGCCTTAAGATTTTGGTTCCGTTAATTCCTACATAGTTTTGTGTGTATCTGCGCACTCATTTACTAACCTCGTCATAACATCCCCTTTGGTGACCCCAATGTTTAATATTGCGACTGATAATAATTGCGGAAAAGAATTGTGATTATTGTGGTATGTATTGTGATAATGTTTATTTAGTATAGTACAATTTACGTGACGTCATCGTATGATGAACTACAATTGACCCAAAAATTAGTGAATTTCGATGATTTAATATTAATTAATATTTTTGTAAAAGTCCGATTATTTCATAGCGAAAAATTGGATAGGAAACTAATAAACTATGTTAGTTAAAAAGGAACAATATTCGTCTGTGAATTAACTGTCATGATGATTTTCATTCCTAGGTTGGCTTCAACGCTGAACATACATGGTAAGTGGATATGTTATCTTTGTTGTATGATTGATGAATGAGTCTGACAAGTACTGTACTAAAATTGTGACTAATGAACCTTCTATTTGATAAATAAATCGCTATGCGTCCTTTTTAGGGTTCCGTACCTAAAAATGACACCCTTCTAGGATCGCAAGTGTGTCTGTATGTTCATCTGTCGCATTTGGTTGACAGATTGATTTGAAATATGGTACATATAATATTATATAAGACCCAAAGAAGGCCGTGTAACGTATATTAATAAATTTTTACATGTGAACATTTAAAAAAAGTTTTGCCAGTTATATTGTGTGTGAGATAACAAATGAAAAGGCTTGTAGTGATAAATCTCACTACAATATTTACGAATTATTGAAGTTTATCTAGATAAAAGAGGAAAACTTATCATACATCAACAACTTCAAATTACAATACAATTCTTATTTGAAAAATACAGAATACAATTCTTTATTGTAGAAAAACTGAAAAAAGGTTCATATCATATAATCTATTTGTTTGTTACAGTAAACAATGCTACTAGTAAATTCACTACAATTATTTAATCAGTGTCTGCCAATGATAAAGGTGGTTATACATATGATGTCTGTACAAAAGCAGATATATAATATTAAATATATACTTAAATATTGATAATTGTGTTTACATTTTGTTATTATTTCAGGGCGGACGCGCCAGTGATGGGTCACCTTTGGGAGCACGTCATTTGGTCTGAACTCGAACTCGGGTGGGTATTAATTTTAATTTTTTAATTACGCATGATGACAGAGGATACGAGACTAAATCGATAGGTCTCCTAACGATACGACAGGGATAGATAATAGTGTTTTGTACAAAATAGACCATCAAAAACTAATTTTATTTTTATCACTCTCGAATAATTACAGATGTGGCTCACTACAATCAATAGTACGTCGGGTTATAGAAATCTGTCAAATTTTTTCACTTGATATTAAAACCTAATATTTTGTGCGTAGTTTAAAATCAAATGGAGGTATTTCACAAATTGTGGTTATCTGAATTGTAGCCGAGTGTATCTGCGCGGAAGGCTAAATTTTGAAGCACTGCAAACTTCGGCCAGTCAAAATGGTTCAAGTATTACGACATCGAGCGATACCCCGATGTTCTAACGCCTGACATCTAAGACTAGCGCGAACACCTTGCTTACAACGTAGTTCACATTTCTAACAATTTTCTCTAAAAATAAATAGTATAATGTATGAAAATTTTGAAAATAAAGTACGGCCAACGAGAAGCGATATCCAATGTAAACAAAACCAATGCAATGTCATTAGGAAATGCAGGGGTAACAGGCGTGCAGGCGTAACTTTTTGAAATCTATGTATTTTATTAGCATACAATAGTATTTTATAATAAAAGGCATTGAGTTACTTTATGTAATTGTTATTCTAAAAATCTATCAATAAAAATACAATGAGTTGAAATTCGAATAATAATACTCAAAATGATAGGCATGGTAGGGAGGTATCTCAAGTCTGTTAACTTGTAGCTTAGGTCCTGCTATTTTTTTATTAATTATAGTTTGAATTATTCTATTAATGTAGTTATCAAGAATGAGATTTAATGTCGAGAATAATATTTATGACAGTGAGGACAAAAATGAAAATGAATGAATCACTATTATTTAAAATAATCACCTGAATGTTGGCGAACCTATCTTGACCTTGACACATTTTTGCCGGGAGAACGAGAGATTGCGACAAATACACAAGATGAAAAGAGATAGTTAATAGATTCAACTCCACAGTCGTTTTTCGGGTTAATGACCTTTCGTATCGCTGCTAGTTGGCTGTACTTTAGCTATTTAATTTAAACTCAAGAAAAAGTGACTATCGCTTAGTGTTTGAGTAAAAAGATTCTTATAACATTTTAACGTTTAAAAGCAGTTTTATTCAATTTAAAAAGCCCATTTCATAGATACGACGAGAATGGCAACACTAAGGGCACGGTGGATACCCCCCCGCCGCCACCCATCCGCTTGCAGTGGGAACTGGATAAGGAAGATATCTTGAGCGCAATCGACGTCTCCTACAACGTCGCACAAAAACTACTTAATGATGTCGATCTGAGAATCCTTATGTATACGAAATACGGAAAAGGTATGTATGGATCTTATACACGACAACTATAGCTTCGGAAAATTTTACCAGAAAAAAATATTATCTCATAATATAGAAATGTATTACTTGGATGACTGTAGATATGTAATTGTTGAATTGAGGAATTGAGAAGGATACTTTAAAATAGGTCAATTCATATAATATAACTAACGACGTATATTTCTTTTACAAAAAAAAAAAAATTGCACTTAGGTTTTTTTCTTGATAAAAGCCGGATTATTTTCCCACCTCTAGATGACAGTGCAATTTATCGTAATAAAAAGTTTGGCTCTTAGTATATCAGTTAATATCAGTTTGGGCTTATTTTGGACTTATTAATTATATATATATATATATAAATTACAATCCATATTAAAAAGACGTAGTTACTACACAGAACCAAAAGTGAATTAAATAAAATTTAACATGCCTGATTTTTTTTATCAATATTTTATTTGTTACCAAAGGATTCATGAAGAAATGCCGCGTGTCCCCCGATGCGTACATCCAATTGATACTGCAACTGTCGTACTATCGCGACGCGGGCCGCTTCTGTCTCACATACGAAGCATCTATGACCCGCATGTTCCGCGAGGGGCGCACGGAAACTGTGAGACCTTGCACCATAGAGAGCTCCGCTTGGGTAAAGGCGATGGTCGATCCCAATGTTTCGGTAATTACTCATACTATACATTTTAACTGAGGGGTGTGTGGGGGGGAGGTGATCTCAAAGTGGTTAGCTCCTTCGATTTGCAATGCGAAAGTTAAGGAACTTTTGCAAGTGTTAGTAATAGGATGGGTGACCAAAGATATAGTATCACGAGCTCCTCCGCGCTGAGGAAGGTACATTAGTTCCGGCTGCATGCGCATACGTTCTTGTGCTGCTTAATTTGAGATAAGAGCAATGTATATGATGTCTAATATCACAGATATTAAAAATGGAGTCTAGGCACTCCACGATATGGGTATAGACAGTAAACGAAAATAAATTCATACAAGTACTGTTTTTTGTGGTAGTGGTAGTTTAATATACTATTATCGATAGTCACACATTTATGCTTATTATATTTATATTAATGCTTAAATTAATTATGAAAACATAAATATATTATACTCGTTGACACGTGAATATCAGAACAGAACATATCAGAAAATATGGTCAGTTGCACAAACGTCCATTAAGGTTTAATGATGCCTTGTAAGCTCTAATGAATGTCAAATTTGTATGGGTAATGTCGCTTTAAACTAATGACATGACAGAAGTTTGCGTTTATATTTATTTTTAGATTCTATTTTATAATATGAATGATACTTTAAAAAAATTTTTAGATAGAAAAGTTGTCTACACCCGTATGTAAACACTCGATTGAAATTTTTTTTCTTTTAAATTTCAATAACTTCCCTGACATTTCTTGGTATATCGAATACCAGGTGGAGGAACGCATGGAGCTATTCCTGAAGGCTAGTCAACGGCACCAGCTCGGCTACCAGGACGCGATGTCTGGACGCGGCATAGATCGTCACCTGTTCTGTCTCTACGTAGTCTCCAAGTACTTGGAGCTAGAGTCCCCATTCTTGCAAGAGGTGTTCAATGAACCCTGGAGACTATCCACCAGTCAGACGCCACACGGTAAGTATCCCTTCAAACCAGGGGCTAATTGTTTAATTTTAAAATCTGGCCCGTTCCCGAACTTCCCGCTACAAATATTTAATATGATAGCGATTACGCTTGTCGAGTTTTTTAAAGATATAGAATAAGCATCGTTAACGTTAATTGTAATTGTCTGTTGAAAAATGGCAGAAGAAATGCTATCTTTCGGTCGTTTTTCCGGACTCCCTTTTCATACCAAACCAAATGAAAATTAGTTATTTTTGGTAAAAATAAATGAGGAGTATAGCAATTAATATCAACTTTGAAATAATTATTAAGGACCTCTTTTTAAACTCCATGGTTTTACTTACTTATTAATTAAACTATTCAAAGGAACTCGTCGAGATACTGATTTTTCAAGTATAACATTGTGAATTCAAAATTTATCAAATATAATGGTCGGACATTCGTTTTTGACTTCAGGTTTCATCTATGAATAATTGTTTTCTTTATTAATCTATTAAAAAAGGTCAAACAAGCTTGATCGACCTGAAGAAACATCCGAATTGCATCAGCGCGGGCGGTGGATTCGGCCCGGTAGCGGACGACGGGTACGGGGTCTCATACATAATCGTCGGTGAAGATAAACTCTTTTTCCATGTCTCCAGCAAGAGGAGTTGTCCCATCACGGTAAAAATACATTTTTAAATTTACGATTTGCTAGTACATACTCTTACTTCATTAAATTCACTTCTATTTGGCTTAAAATATTTGTTCAAGTTCGTTGTTGGTGTTTAATCGAGTAAATTACCTCTACTACACTAAATATACGAGTATAAGAGTGTATTTTTCCTACTAGAAGCTATTCTTCAACCTCCCAATAGACGGGAGCTTGTGACAAAAATGTACAAAGGTTTTGTAACGGTTTATACTTCAGTATAAATTGAAGTGACTTGCGCACTGTGTACTTTTTTTATCATAGTGCTTTATGTTGTTGCCAAAGCTTGACAGGTGGCGAGGAGTGTTTGAGATTCCTTCATTCATGGAAGTGACTATATCCTCTGTCAGGGTTGCCACTTTTTGGGAAACAACATTTCATACAAAGTAATCGGACTTCAGAGTTTGAAAAAAGTACGTTTAAGATGCATCGTGGCGAAACCTGCGTTTCGTCCATGTCCAACACTCAACATTCGGTCCATGTGCGCCTTAGGTATGAGGATAGCTAAGGCTCACATGGACCGAATGTTGAGTGTTAACAAAATACGGGACAAAACTAATAAGAAATGGGGACGCAGAACAACATTTTTTAGATCGGGACTGCCCCGAAAAAATCGGAATGGGTGGCAATCCTGTCCTCAGTACTTTCATAAACTGAAGTATCAACCGTTACAAAACCTGTACATTTTCTTACGAGCTCTTGTACTATAACTCTCTCAACAGAAAAAAATAACATACCATAACGATGCACCGCTGCAATGTGCAAGAATCATAAATTAAAATACTCCCATTAATAATATTAGAATGTATAGTGATAGCGTCACTTCGACCACAATCGATCCTACAAAAAGAAAATAAGAATATTAGTACCTTCACTTGGTTGTATTTAAGTATGCATTTGTATAGACAATTTTTAAACCCTGAATATAATTTCAAGTATAAAATGTTAAGCATTTAAAATCAAATATCACCAAAACTTCCAACCAGTTTCTTTTTTTTATAATTTATTAAAATAATTCGTTTTATAGCTTGCTATGGATGTAAACGTAAGTTGTGCTTACACGAATAAAAAATTACATATTTCAAACATATATATATGTCGTGAGTGGCTTTTTCGAGATCGATAAAATATATATTTCTTAAATTGTCTTTGTCTAACAAAAATATCAGAAAATTTTAAATACAAATCCCTACTTACAATAAATAAATTTACCGCATTACTTTGTTTCAGAGTTCCTCAAACTTTGTGCAGCAAATCGAACGCTCTCTGAAAGACGTTCAGGACCTCTTCGTTGAATATATGAAACTCAAAAGTTGTCAAAAGTAGCAAATACTTAGAAATAAGTCTTGATATTTCCGTTGTTTTTATATATATATTGAGTAGTTATTAATCATTTTTACGATTTTACACCATTGTCTAGATGTTTAGACTAGTCTTGCGTTTGGGATTTGTTTCTGTTATTTAAACTATGTGATAACTGTTCACAATACTAATATTCGTTTTATAGAAGATTACTTAAAAATTCTCTAGTCCTTGAGATGAGATTTAGACTCGTTATCTTTCGCAATCGTGGCTATGCTCTAATCTAATATTGCGATGACCGATAGCGTAGCGAAACTAATATATTTCACAAGCACTTATTTCTTTTGATACGGGAAGCATATCGATGATACAATGTACAGGCAAACAAACAGCCGAAACAAATAATATTACAAGTAATGTTTACTACAGATCATCACACTGCTATTAACATACATAGGCGAGTGTTACCTTAATTAGGGGACGCTCATATTAGTGTAATTATTATATCTAAGGTGCTCAAGGGATAATATTTAGATTGTATACACTTCTCGAGACTAATTACAGCAAGTTCCAACTGATGTGGCGCATTGTGAATCTTAGTATGAGACGAAGACCTACCAAATTTGACAACTGTAATTGCACATTCGGTACGATTAATTTAAATAATTATTCCTGTTTCAATATGTTTCCGTCTCACTCGATCTCAATGGACACCAATCGCGTGGATTGCCTGATGGCGGAAGATTTAACTTACTGTACTTAGTTTTTGTAAATCTCACGTAAACGAATTTCTCGTAATTCTTTTGAAAAATTAAGCTGTTTACACACAGTTTATATAACGGACGGATAGCGGATGAGTAATTTCCCCCTGACCATACTAGTCTAACCATCAGTTAAACCAATGAGTAATATCACTTTTTTGTTGTTGTTGTAACATGTAGTTTATGTGAACGACTTACACTGGTTTTTTAGGTTAAGCAAAGACTCAAAGTATTCTTTAGATGCAAGTATACAAATAATATTGTGAATAAAAATATGCAAAGGAAATGAAAGTGTTCAAAAGAGCAATGAATTTGTTAATGGATGCCCTTATATAGTGCAGGTTTATAATTAATCAATTAGATACAATTTATCGATATAATGATTTTCCTATATATATATTATGTAAAGACAAATCAGTGTGATAAATCATGGCTAAGTACATGTAACTGTTTATTATTTACATGCCTTAATTTACGACGATGCACGCTGTAATTAATCTTCAAATTCATCGTGTTGATTAATTAATAAACACGGTATTTAATATATTTGCGATCGCGATCCTCTGTCGATAAAATGGTGATACTATATCTGGCCTTGAGAAATTGTCGAAACATAGGTACTATCGAAACTATCGCCTAACACCAATGATATTTTATGTAATGACTGCGAATAAGAGTTTAAAAATAGTCAAATATGCTGATTATCAAATAGCACTTTAGAACTCCACTCATATCTACTATCGGATCACAAGTTTGATGTTAACGAGAAAAGCCAAAGAAATTTAGAAACAATTATATGTAAAACTTTTTCTTAAGGTCAATTATAGATTGCTAAACTATTGCTACTACAAAAACATAAGGTAAACTCCACGATAGCCGCTAGTAATAATATTTAGGCCTGTGTAATTGTAAGGGTTTTTTTTTTAATATTCGTTCTCGTTTGTGGGGGTAATAATTCTGGGGCAATACATAGAATAGCCGGGATTTGCAATTACTCTAATCTAAGCCTCAGCCTGTTCGTGATTGTGTTCAAAATTGTACGTAGAAATTGGCTGTTTTGTCAATAATATACCGGTGTACTGCTGTGTACATATTGCATTAAAAATATCATAATATATTTAATTGATGTTACCTAGCGATTATGTGGCTGTTTTTATTTTTTATATAATGCCAATCTGAAATGTAAACTTTAGGGAATTTTAATTGTAAACGCCGGCTTGATGAGCAAAGGCAAAAGCTACCTCCTTAAGCCGTCCACCTATAGAAATCTCATATTATCAATATTCAAATACGTAAACATTTCAAATTACTTCAGTCTATGGCCACATCCACTTTCCTTTGACTTAAGATGCATTTTCTTTATTGCTTTTCGATAATTTCAATTTACTCAATTGTACCTAAACCAGCAACGAGACAACAGTAAAAAATGAAGGTCTCATTCTCTGGAAATGATAATAGATTAATGTGTATTTGTTTTTAATAAATTAGTTCTATGTTTGGTGTAGGGATAACTATTTATTAAAACAGATCGGTTATGATTAAGTAAACAGAACAACTAAATTTTACATTGAATATTTTAAAATATATTTTATAATAATCTATTTATAGTACTTATAACAACAAATAAAACTCATTAGTAATTACATGATATCCTGCTGTGCCTTCTATCTAATAATTATGTTATCAAAAAATATAGTTATGAATTACACATCTTACCGTTAAGGATCTATATTAGAAAATTATATTAATAATAGTTTTGAACTTGAATTTTGTGTTAAGCTACTTACAGTGTCAGGCTATTGTAAATAAATATTATTTGGATATTAATTATTTTCATTACCTTATTAATATACATATGCAAGAAATAACCTTTCTTCCGATTGCATCGTGTATGTTTCTCTTGGTTCACTCTCTGGCAGAATTTTTGGAATCGTTGTCGGATAAAATAGCCCGGGCTGCCGCCTTCGCCTTGCAAATCACTACAAAGTATAAAACAATGTTGCTTTCTTTGTCCCTATATTCCCATATATGCTTAAATCTTTAAAACTACGCAACTGATTTTCATGCGGTTTTTTTTTTAATAGATAGATTGATTGGAGATGATGGTTTTATGTATAGTAAGTTTTTAGGTTTTGTACAAACTGACGATATTACAACGATATTAGGTCAATATGTTGGAAAAAATAAAGCCGATCTGAAGCTTTCCTCGAAAACGCTGCCAAAAACTTTTGAGTTATAACAAAACATTGTGGAATTGTACCTCTTTAATAGATCTACAAAAAAGTCCGCGGTGGTATATGTCTATATTCCAAGGATAACCTACAATAACCATTTTTTTCGCTTTAGAAGAGAGAACAACTTAAGAGCCATATTACATCTCAACTGTGATTTCTGCGTGATTTTTCTCGGAAACAAAAACAAATTAACAATTTTGACTTGTTGAATAATGAAGAATAACTCTTAGTATAGAAAAAAGTGGCTTAACTTTTTGGAAATTTTGCTCATCTTTTTAATTAAACCCAAAATACCAGAGAAAGATTTTCATAAAATGCGCAAAGACACTTTTTTGAAGGCCTGGATTGAGCTACTGTTCTTAACAAACGAAATAAAAGAAATAGAATGATATCTCTTATATAGTCGTAAAGTAAACAGTAACTCGAAATTTAGAAATAGCAATGATTAAATATAGAAAAACAATCATATTACAAACCAAAAACCATCAAAAATTGCTTGAAGTAAACTTTGAATTTCTCTTAGCCACAACAATATTATTTAACAAAATTTATGCCAGATTAATGACTATTTCATAAGGAACAAAGTTATTATAAATTTAAAGCATAAATTTATTATATTACTAGCTGACCCGACAGACTTCGTCCTGTCAAAAAGATTTGTAATGTGGCAGTTTTTTTGCCTACGTATTTAAAAAAAAAATAATTAAATAAAACATATATAAGGATTTAAAAGTAAGTAATCGCTTTATTGTTAATCATGTGAATCATAATTATTATTGCAATGTATTAATAGTAATAGTATTAAATATAGAAAAAAGAGATTTTTATGATCATAAAAACACATTACACACAACAGCATTATAAAAGTAAACTATTCGAATTAAAAAAATATATAAACATTCTCAAGGAAAAATGCTGGAAGAATCCATCTACCTGTACCCCGGAATGGGACTCGAACCCATTCGCGATCCAGGGACTGCTCTAACCAATGAGCTATCTAGGACCCAACAGCTTTGCTACTACAGAGCGTATTTTCATCAATGTTCCGGCAATACATGTAATGACGTGGAAACTGATGCATTTTATCTCGCGTGCCGAAACTAATACAAAAGAAACGCGAGTTTCGGAACGCGACATTAAACTCCTCCAACTATGTATTCTGTGCTCCAACGCACACACGCACATTGTTTTGATAGATATGATCTTTGACGTTAGGAACACACCTACATTGCTTAGACAACAGTGAGTGCTTGTAATTTAATATGAACTTTATACCATAGCAATAAAGCTCAAATTGACTACGTTTTAGTTACAAATCATTTGTATGGGAAAAAGAAAAGGGCTATTTTTAGGGTTTTTCCAGCAATAATTCTAATTTTTCTCGCCGTAAAAACCATTCTTGAACTTCAACGAACATTTTAAAAAAAGATTTGGCCAAATTGGTCGAGGCGTTGTTGAGTTATGCGCTTACCAATACATTTTGCGATTCATTTTTATATATATAGATTTCAATAAATACGATAAAAGTAAACGCAAAATCACTACAAAATAAGATGCAGTGGCCGTCTGAGCTCAGTACCGCGCGAGCGCTCCTCAACGTTAGACCTGTGTCGCATTACTTCGCGCCATTTTTCGATCTAGATACGTTCGAGCGAGCGTAAATAGAGCAGTATAGTGGGACTTCCAACTTTGGTCACGAAGTTCGATTTATATGGAATTTATATAGCTTGTTGAATTATTTCTAATACACATTTGTTATTTTCAGCATAGGTCGAAAGACCCCTAGGTATATTTGTATAAGAAAGTTAAAATATATATTTATATTAAGAAATGCAAATAAAGCAAGGTACTTCTTCTCTCAATAGACTTATACTAGTACATAAAAATTGGAGTGCATATTTGTAATATTAAAATAACCGCTTTTCACCAAATACATTTGTGTGTATACATGGTACATATACAAAAATAATATATTTTATCTGTTCTGTCTGTTAGTTCTGGCTAATCTCTGAAACGGCTTGGCCGATTTGAAGAGACTTTCACTAGAAGTTGACTTACGTTATGAGTTATGAGGATTAACTTAGACTTATGGCTCGATGCAATTCGATCGATATCAAATTTATCGGAGATCCGCATATCAAACAACTTTTTCTAAATTCAATATATTTTTAATCCCCGACGCAAAAACGACGCGGTGTTATAAGTTTGACATGTCTGTGTGTCTGTGTGTGTGTGTGTGTGGTGTGTTTGTGTCTTTTTGTGGCATCATAGTTCCCGAACGGATGAACCGATTTTGATTTTGTTTGAAAGGTGTATTAGTCGGGAGTGTTCTTCACTTTGATGAAAATCGATCCAAGATGGCCGCCGCCACAAAATGTCGGATTACATATTTTATCACCATTCCATCAATATGGGTATCAAATAAGAGGGCTTGAATAGTAGAATACTGAACACTATGACAAATTTCAAATCAAAGATGGCCGCCACCAAAAATGTTGGATTACCTACATATTTCTCACGACTCCCTCAATACGGACATTAAATAAAAGGGCTTGAGTGTTGAGTAGTATATACAAGACAAGCCAATAACGGGATGGGCGATCAATCTTTTTTACTTAGCTGAACTGAAGGGGTGGTGGTGGGGCGGAGCGGGGCATGGCGAGTATTTACTCTCTTTTTAACGCATACTTGTTTAGTAACGTGTAAAAAAATTTCGTCACCCATCCGATTACTGACCTTTGCAAACGTCGCTTATCCTCTACAATCGCAGATCAAACTTGTTAACTACTTCAGCATCAAGTCAATCCACCCAGCATTTCTGACTGGACCCACGTGTGGTGGTGCTAAAGAACAGATATTCTCAATAGATGAAATTATTCCAACCAGCATTTCTCGTAGCATTCAGCACACCAATTAGGATTAGTAGTGTAAAACACATATTATTAATCGTTGATTTAAATGCATCCAGAATTCCGCACTGGTCCCACATAAAGGTGCCAGTGCGGATTGGTGGTGCTAAAGCATATATATTTTCAATTAATGATTAATCTACCAAGTAATCCGTACTGGGCACGCGCCCAGTACGGATTACTAGGTCGTCCTAAATCGCTCCACTAAAAAAATTCACCACCCATCCGATTGCCGGCCTTTGCAATCGTCGCTTAACCTCCTCAATCGCAGATCAAACGAGCTATCCGGCACCATCGGGCTTTTCATTTGTTTATATACGGATATTGCCGTATTTTTTTGTAAAATTCAATATATTTTGATGATATGGTAAGTTTGAGCAAATGAATCGTTCCTCTATATTATTGAACAGAAAATCAAAAGCAGATCGAGCGTTCTACCGCCTTCATACATTTGAAGTGATACCGCAGACCATGAGATTTGTGACCGATATTGACAGATAGTACAATCTCATGAGCAAACACTTGAGTTTTTCCATACATTTTATAAGTGCATGCGATTCGTGTGATATCGTTCATTGATATCGAATAACATCGCATCTAGCCATGAGAAAAGAACCTTAGGTTACTTTCCATTCGCATAAAGTCGCGGGCACAACTCGTTTAATATAATTCTAATTTACTACTTTTCCAAACAGGAAACAGTCCATGTTTCCTATGGATGACGAAAATATTTCGAAATCGTCAACGAAAAATATGGCACGAATATTTTTTAATTAATATTTATAACTTTATTGGTATATTGTCATCGCTATTTATATTTATAGCCTATGATTTGGCTAAACTTGTTTCTTTTAATTTTTGTCCGATCTTAGCAGTCGTGTTTTTAATTTTTAAATAATTATTTATATTTTATTCCTTTTAGTGAGCAGCTAATTTTGTATAGAGATTATATATTTTTAATGGACCTTTAATTTGATACCCATAAAGTTATGATTATAAAAAAACATACTTTTTTAAATGGCGTCACACGTCCCCATACCTATTTAATATTAATAAATAAAGCTAGTTTCACTGATACTCTATGTATTTTGTGGTAACTTAGGATGATGTTTCTAATGATACCCTATAAATTCATATCCGTAATATCTTTCAAAAGTTATGGTGCAATAAAAAACTCACATACATACATTAATTATAAAAACAATAGACTCCTTTCGAGAGCAGTCGTGTTAAAATATTCGGGAATCGATAATGAATTTCACCATAGAAATGCAAAAATAAATACAAAAATTGGGAAAAGTATCAAAATAGCTTGAACGTGATTTCAACACAGTATTGTGGACTCGTGACCTTGAACAAGTTGTCGAGAACTCGGAACGCTTCAAAATACCTAATCTCACAGAGTGAAAATTTTTCATATGGCTCTTAACAGATGAGCGAGGATATCGAGCGAGGATATCAGCGGTATCTTGAGACTAAACACACTAAGTAGGCTAGAGCAATCAATTTCATTCCCGATTAAGCCATATAAAAACATAAAGTGAAGGACATTATACCTCGAATATAACACATTGTTTTCAGATTCAATAATTCTTGAAAACTTTTAGTCGTCTGCAAATATAAATGGCATAGAGTACTTGGAACAGACAAGAAGATCATTTACAAATACATTGAACAGTAAAAGACTGAAATCTGAACCCTGCGGCACGCCTGAGGAAATCTCAACATAGGCCGACTTATGTCTTGTTTTCTATGAGTAAAATACATAAAATGAAATAAAAAATAATATAGTTAAATAAAAATTCCAACGGAAATTATAGACGCTCTCGGACTGGATTACTTCTTCTTCTTTTTTAAATAATGGCTTATCTGCGCATTTCGCACAATTCTGCCAATTTCAAGTAAATTAATTAATTTTTACATGTAAAATGAAAATGAAATGAATAAAAGATGGCGATGATCACTGGATTAAAAAACAAAAAAGGTGACAATACTGACAATCAGGTATGTTAGAGAGGGGAAACTAGTACGCCTGTGCTCCGCTCTGGCGCTCAATTCTGGGAGACAAACTGTGTGGCAAATCGTATCTCAGTAAAAAAATGCACATTTCAATTTCGTATACCGCTAATAGAGGGCAGTAATTATCGAACACACGGAAGAAATATCACTTTTAACATTTTTTTTTAA